GTGTTAATTTTGGTACAAGAATCCTTTACATGCCAGTGTTATTCAATACTAGTTTGTAAATGTAGGCACATTTTTACTTGACAGTAGCATGTCTTAGGCAATTTATAAGTACTGATAGTATATTATTGTGGTTTCATGAGTAGACCATCAAACTCTAACGTACTAATTTGTGGAAATGGTCTCTGTTTGCAAATGTAGGAGACAGATTTGCATAACAGTAGTACATCACAGTTGGCTAATTATATTACTGCAGTTTCACAAGTTGAACTTCAAACTCCAACGTACTGTTGGGTGGAATTGGTCCTATCTTTTCATGACCATATCTGCAAATAACGATCATATCTACTCATCAGCTCTGCACAATATTGTATAAGACACAGTGCTAGGGCTGTCACTTAGTTTTCAATAGCTGTAACATTGGAGATATCACTTGTAGCATTGTGATATGTGCCCCAATGTAAAGTGACAACAATCATCATTTCCACTCTTAACATCAAGTTAGCTAAACTGTAAAGGTACCCTTATTGACAAACCTGATTGGTAACAAAATGGCTGTACAGTTGACATAGGGTAGTTACTTTTCACAAAAAGCATGTGTGAGGTATTTTCACATCATATGATCAAATAAGTAGTGTAATAGGTTAGCTATGTGTGAAAGAGGTGTATAATGATCTTTAGGATACTGTAACACAATAACCTACCCTTGTGATGGAGGTACTATCAATCTCCTTTTCCCACCTACTTGCATTCCTGTGTGAAAAAAGAACAACCTTGGTTGACTCAGTTACTTGACATAAAGAAATTTCAGGCTTCGAAAATCAAATTTAAGGAGGGCTGTGTGATTTGGTATTATCAATTGAGTTGATAACATAAATTGACCACTGCTAAGAGTTTAAAAGCTGATGTTTCCCTCCATTAGCCTTTCGTCAGAGGGAAAGGAGGATTGCCTTGGTAGTATGAATGTTAGAACACTTACCAGTGACACCCTGATCCCAGCCTTGTATGACCTGTCCTGCACCAACTCTGAATGAAAGTGGCTGTCCACTCAGACAAGCATCAAACTGCTTTTTGTTCTTTGCTAAAGTTCCTTTATAATATAAATGAACCTGTTGAAATGAACCATTGAGAAATGAAAAATAGTAATTACAAAGAACAAGACAAACCAAAAAGGAAGATCTACAGACACTTTAATTTAAAACCACAGACAGCTGATAGATGGAATATTCTTTTGATCAATCCAAGTGCTCCCTTGTGGTTTACTTGAATCAGCAACATATTGCTCTGTGTTTGTGACTATCACTACTGACCTACTGCAACTTCATCAATAGACATTGCGCTTAACCCTTTAACTCCTAGAAGTGATTAACATGTAACTTCTCCCTATTATATTCATGCATTATTTAGCAAACAAGTAATGAGAATACTCAAATATATCAGGTAGAAATGATCTTGATCTAACACCAAATTCTTGTTACCAATTTAAAAGGAAATGTGTAGCAGCTAGAGGGGAGAATTAACAATCAGATCTTGGGAGTTAAAGGGTTAAAACATTTCAGTATAATGAGACAGTTTGTGTTGTAAGCAGATCACATACAGTCAGCAAAGACCATGGCACATAAAGCATTAATATTCATGGACATCCTTACTATCTGTCCTCTTTTGGCCATTGGTCCTGTCCCTTTTTTAATGTCTTCAAACACAGTTCCTCCTGGTAGCGTTTTCCTCTTTGCCTGCTTATAATACAATACAAGATCTCCTTGTTACACTATTTCCTTGCATGTTAAGTTTGAGAACTATCGTATCATCCATATTTAGCAGAAAAATATTCCTTACATATTATACACTTATTATACACTTTCCCGAGGGAAACTAGATAGTTTTGTTTTCCCAACAGTCCTGATATTTCCCAAAACAAAGTCAGGGGAAACATCAGGAATCAAGGGAAAACAAAACTAACTAGTTTCCTTTGGGACCATACATTAAGTGCTTTGTTATATATTTAAACTTTCCCTTAAAACAATCATGTACTGTTGTATTTGGTGCACAGGCTACAACTGCGCAATTGTATCCCAGTTGGGATACATTTGAATTTGATCAGGGGCACATGACCAAGAATCAACCAATCTCAGTGCTCGTTCTGTTGAGTGCAAGTCTGGGTATGTAACAATGATTATTGAACCTATGTCAACATCAATAATAAACTGAACACACAACGCCAAACATGACTAAAATCCTTTCTTTACTTTCTGAAGCTCATAAATTCTTATGAATTACCAATTTCATTACTTATTATATATTCAGATATATTTTCCAAAACACAAGTGCTGACAATTTGTATTCATGATTACCTCCAAAACATGAAAAACAAAAGTTTGCAGCCTTGCATGTTTACTTTGACCTGCCATGACCCTGTGAGTTTACTATAATGAAAAAACAGCTTCTCAAAATATTTCCCATAACATAAATCAATAGACACTTACCAAGGTGGCTTGTGGTTGATCACTCTGTTTCCCAGGCCTTGGTTGTGTCTCCTTTCCCCTTTTTATTTGTGTTACTTGTTTAACTTGAGTGTCACTGTTTTTTGTAAGCAAGTTACTACCTAATGAAGTCTGCTCACTGCTATTTTCTTGAGTTTTTGACTTTTCTGTCTTGCCATCACTGTTTGGTGAGTTTAGTTGAGATTTTTTTCCTTTCTTCTTCAGTTTTTTAGCTGGTTTAAGTCCATTTTCAACTGTCTGATTTTCTGTTTCAACCACTTTCCTCTTTTTCTTGTTTCCTTCTTTCTTCCTGAGTTCAATTTCAGATTTAGTATTTTTTTGCCCTCCATTACTGCCTTCATTTTCACCATGCATACTATAATTTGACAAAGTTACTTCAGTTTGTTCAACATCCATCAGAGATATAATATTGTTTTCATCCAAATTCTCAGCCTGTTTTTTCTTCTTCCTTTTCTTACTTGGTTTTCTCCTCTTTGGATTATCCTTGGATGGATCCCAGTCCAAATCTGCACTCTCTTCATCCTCATCATCATCATCACTGCTGATCAAATCTCCACTTTGAAATAAGTCTCCAAGAGTCACTTCCTCACTGGATGATTCATCATCATCCTCAGCTGAATCAGAGTTGCTTGCAGATTTTTCACTTCCTGCCGATACTTCCTCATCTGATTCTTCAAATTCCACAGCATTTGGTTCATCCACTAAATAACCTGTCCATCAAATATAACAATTTAATGGAAAACTTGTTGCATGTTGAGATCTTTTATACTTGAGTTAACATTTGGGCTACCTTCTTGTCCACAGGTTCCAGGTTGCATTGGAATTTGGAATGTTGGTTTTTGTGGAGGGAGGTAACCTGAAGTAACCCAAGAAACCCTTTGGAGCTAGGACAAGAACCACCCACAAACTCAACCCACATATGACACCAGGTTTGGGAATCAAACATAGGCCACTGCAGTAGGAGGCAAGCACTCTCATTGCTGAACCATCCCTGCTCCCTTGACAGAAAATACAAGTATATGCTTGCTTCATCTAAATATGAACCAGAAACTCAAAATGTATAACCAAGAGCATGGTACGATAAATTTCTAATCCACCTGAAGCCAGCAAAATCTAAAGCAAGAAGTCTCACACTTCTATCTACATTTGGCATTTTAAGATCATAGCTGCCTTTTTATCAGTCTCCTGATCTTAATCTCATAAGAAAAAAATTAAAAAATTTCAAATTATGCCACTATGATGGTGATCAAAAAAAAGAATTCAAAATAAAACAAACCTGTTAAATGTACATCCCCGGGGCCTTCTGTAAAGAAAGTTATCTCTTCTCCTTCTGTAAAACAATAGTCTAAAGGCTGTTGTGGAATTTTGCCAGGCTGCAGTGTGCACAATGCAAACTGAGCTTTATCCACTTCAACCATTATTGTCACTGGCACTGATGAACAGTTCTGAAAGCCCAGAGCAGCCATTGATAAGTGGAATGACTTTTCCACTGTCTGGGTGTAACGCTTCCCAGAATCAAGAGTGACCCCTGGAAATAAAATAGGAATGGAACTATAAACTGTTTTATGGACAGGTGCATGGTGTGCTCTAAGGAATGAAACATAAATTTCTCTGTCTAATGGGAAGGTTGTGGTACCACAGCCAACCAACTATTGATGTAATGCAACTTGAATAACTGTACTTTGATCCAATCTGTTTAACTTCTAAGATTCAACTAGTAATTCCCCTCCTGAGCCCCTTACATTTCCTTGTAAATTTGGTTTTATATCAAGATAAACCTTCTAACTGATGGGTTTGTCTTTTTTCATAACCTCTTTGCAAGATAACAGACTGGAGTCGCAAGGTGAAGTTAGATTCAACTCACTCCTACAAGTTGAAGGTTTCAGAGCTAAGTACCCTTGATACCTGAACAGAGAGCCTTCAGGTATTCAATGATCCTTCCAAGAGCACAACTTTGGAAATCTTGTTAACTAAACCGAATCTAATAAAAAGCGTGCTAGACTTCACCTTGGGTAGTTTGTACATGTTTTCTTCTGCTCACAAATTAATGTTCCACGCGTTAAAATATCACATGCCATGGCCGTTCTAAAATGCCAGTTGAGCAATAAGGAAGCAGCATTTGCCTTAAATATACTCAATAGTCATAAAACTCTTTATAGATTCTTTATAAAAATTTATAACTATTGTATAATAAACGTGGATTTTTAAAAGAATATTGTGTTTGTATTTCATCAAATAATTTATCTCACTCCTGCACGAAACTATGACTGTTAGAAAAATTGCACTTCAGTGGAGTCATTTCTCCACTTTTAAGTTTTGATTACATAGCAAAGGAACTATAGAAAGTAATGAAATAATCTACTCACCCCAAAACATCGCGAACTGTAAGACAGGGCCAAAGAAACCACCAAGAGTTTTCACGACTTACGATTAAATATCCGACGCCATTTTGAATTTGATGAATGCGCCTGCGCAATGAAGAAGTCTTATCGAAAAGAACTCTGGGTATATGTCCTCTTTCAGCCTTCCTCTTCGAAGGTGAGATTCGTTCCGATGTGTGGTTGAAATCTCAAATTATCTCCCCAATCCTCTTTTCTATTTTCGATTAGACTTCTTATTTCTATTCTTTCGATATCAGAGCCTACTTCTACTTAATAAGATAAATGAAATATGGCTGGAAATAAAAAAAATCGCGTTGATAGTGAATCCTACCTGAAAGCTGTTACCTTACAATAAATTAGTTGCTAACTTTGGGAAACATCTCTAAGTATTCCCGCATTTTTTGCAGATTCTTTTGTTTTATCTTGGGGATTATGTAATATTCAATTGAAAGCCTAGCAGCTTTTTACATAGTTTCCCTTTGATTTCCCTGCAGGATAGACAAAAATGAAAACCATAATATCGATGCACGATGTGTTTTTCAGGTAAAGGTTACTCAAGATGACTCGTTACGCTTCTGATCCTGAGAATCCAACCAAGTCTTGTAAAGCACGGGGTTCTAACCTCCGTGTGCACTTCAAGAACACACACGAGACGGCTGTGGCCATCAAGGGCATGCACATACGTAAGGCAAACAGATATCTCAAAGATGTTATTGCTAAAAAGCAGATCATTCCCTTCCGAAGATTCAATGGTGGCGTGGGACGTAAAGCTCAGGTATGTATGACATGTCACCCATAATACTGGAATACTTACCATTCGCATGTACCATGTGATTTAAAGTTTCTTGGACAAACATATCATGGTATAACTGCTTGGTATACTGAAGAACTTAGAGTCTACTATTCTTGTAACACTCTCATTAGAAGCTTCCACTCAACCCCTAAGCTTACTGTGGTCTCTTACTATGCTTACTATGGCTTATTATGGCCTTGGTTGTGATGTTTCATCCAATATGTGGTTGATAGATGAGCTCTATACTTGCTGATAGCCAATTAGTTATCAAAAATTGGCTGGCCTATGCTTACCCATTGATTGGTTAACAATCAACTGTCAGCTAATGTCTTGATGTTCTGATATATCAATCTACTATTGGTAGAAGTAATAACTGACTTATCAACCAAGGAAATCCATATCATGCATGATCCTTTCTATTGGCCTTGTCTTATGTAAATGAACAGTTGGATAATGGCTCTTTAAGAAGTGGTGACTTTTTGTGATATACTAGTGTATTATACATACTGACTATTTATAAGGAACTTATACCAGAGGGGCTGCTGCTCAATGTCCCAAGTTTCAGTTTAGAACTGCTTTATGAAAAGGAAACTGATATCTCAGACTGCATAAGCCCAGATCACTGGACTGTCTTCAAGCCTTAGGCTCCATGAATTGATTAGAGTGTAACCTCTCCTCACAATTTGTGAACTGGTATTGGGAATAGAAAAAACTTATCAGCAAGGGATTATCTAATTTACATGGAAATGTATGCTAGTAGTGATGGAGAATTTCTAACTTGATCTAAGGAGAGGTAGTGACTGAGAAACTCAATGTGAATTAATTATGTACATTTTCAGGCCAAGAACTTGAAGTCTCCAGGATCCCAGGGCCGGTGGCCAAAGAAGAGTGCAGAGATCCTGCTTCAGCTCCTCAAAAATGCTGAGAGCAATGCTGAGTTTAAAGTGAGTTTTTGGTTATTTGATGCCTCGCTGTGAAATAAGAAAACGTAAAGTTTTTTAGATGTTTCTTTGTCAAAGGCATGTTCCTGTTGTTGGTGAACAATCACCAGCTGATTATATAAAATCAAATTGGAAAAATTAAAAATTTTTACATTTCTAGAGGGCTGGCTTTCGCAAAAACCATCAACAAGAAGTTTGAGTTATTAATCAGGAATACTGGTTGCCTAACCCAATTTTCAGTGGTATTAGTGACCAGCTAATGGAAATTTTTAGTCCTGCATCTCTATAATTAAGTGATTCAACTTTAATAAGTAATCAGTATAATAATCTCCTTTAATTGACCTCCATGTTTGTTTTTGTATCAAGGGACTGGATGTAGACTCGTTGGTGGTTGAGCACATACAAGTCAATGCTGCTCCCAAGATGAGGAGGAGAACCTACAGAGCCCATGGACGTATCAATCGTAAGTCAAAGTTGTTTCATATCCAGTTTTAACCTTTAACTCCCATAAGTGACCAAGACAGAATTTCTCCTAATGATATCAATACACTATCAAGCAGACAAGTGATGAAAACTAGGAAAAATATCATTTGGAGGATTATTAGTTGATCCAATACCAAATTCTCAAAACTAATATCACAAGAACTGTATGGCAGACAGTAAGTAGAATTACTAATGGGATCTTGGGAGTTAAAGGGTGAAAGCCTAGGAGTTTGTGGTTTGTTCTTTTTTTTTTTTTCTGTACAAACCACTCACTGAGTAAATAACATATATGTATCCCATTTGATTGGAGTAGTAACACTTTTTCCTTTGGAAATAACACCTTCACTCCTAAGATATCATGATTGATTCTCCTTACTTCATGCCATACATTTCTTATGATGCTGGTTTTGGAGAATTTGTAGCCTCATTACAAGTGCTTCAGTGCAATTTTTTCTTTGCCCACTGGAAAGTATGAGGCCTTGAGCAATGCAAGCTGGTGAAAGGTCTGCAAGGGGTCTGGGACTGATAATGATTATTAGTGCCAGACTCCTGGGGCTTGTTTCTCCAAATTGTGGGTAACTTAATGAAGCTGTATTTTTTTTAATCAAAATCTTAAGAATGGAGAAGCCAGTTCTGGCACCCTTAACAGTCCATCATGTTTTTCTAGCTGATATTTTTATTGAATAATTTTTAAAACTTTTGACACTCCTATCTTGAATAAAAACAGATCAGCTCTATAGGCCCTACAAAATTACTAAGACATTCGAGAAACTGGCCCTTGGTAAACTTCTCTTCAACTGGTCTTAGCAGAGAAATGCATGTTTCTGCAGCACTGAAAACAAGGGACTGCTAGTTTGGTATTGGATCAACTAAAAACCCACCATTATTTTATATTTCTTTATTCTCATTGCTTGTCTGCTTGATACGTATAGATATTGTAAGGAGAAATTCTACCTTGGTCATTCATGGAAGTTCAAGGAAGACGCTATGGTAGTAACTAGCTTTTAAGGCCTAAACTAACTCAACCTTGTGTTTTGCAGCCTACATGAGCTCCCCATGCCACATAGAGATGATCCTTGCTGAACGTGAGCAAGTTGTTCCTCGTGGTGAGGATGAGGTAGAGGTAAAGAAGGTATCCAAGAAGAAGATGGCGCGAGAAAAGATGAAATCCAGGGAGTAAAGCCCTATTTTGAGAGCTGTAAAATAAAATTTCAATTCGGAAAACGTGTGTTCTTGATGTTTCAAGATAGATTAGAATTCTTTTCGTCTCTTGTTTTGACTTTGCCAGGGCCTAAGTCTTGAGGCTCATATCTGTTTCACAGAACCAGCTGCTCTTTGGAACAGGAGGTGGCGAAAGGCAACGGTAAATGACATTTTACCTCGGACAACTAAGCTTCTGTCGGGTTCTCTTTCCTAGACTACCTATCAGGTTAAATTATTTTTAATTTTGTTTTGGGTATGTTCACCCACTTCCTAAATCACTTAGGCCGTTAAATTGGCAGCGTCACAGTTTGGTTCGACTAAGTCTTAAATTGGCAGGTTACGTTGGTTTTATCAACTGAGTTTATACTGTTTATTGGTTAGGAAAGAATTTATAAAGGTTACGTTTCGGCTGTTAGGCGTCATTTCTCTCTGACGAAGGGCTAGCGCTCGAGACGTCAGCTTAGAAACTCGCTATGATTATCAACTCAGTTGACAAAGGCAAATGATCTTGTGGTACCCTAACCAACGTAGCACCAAAGTTTTGTTTAGAAACCTGCCCATTAATTGGTCAGTTTAATTGTGGAATTTCGTCAATACCGGTCTAGGTTAGTTAGCTAAGGGCTAAGCTCAATTTTTTGTTGGTCCGCATACCTTTTCGTGACCCGAGGCGTTGGTAAAGACATATTCAACACGGTCTCAAGGTTCCGTCATGGTTAATATATCATGCGTAACGGGCGCTTGACTTGGCGCGAGTGCAGCACGCGCGAGGGAAAGACGGAGGTTATGTGTCTACTGACTCGCGCGTTTCTTTTCTTGCTACTACCGTTCTTATTTAGTTCGACACACAGAGAGTAGGTCGCGTCATGAAGCTACACAACAGGGTGTAATCGGACTCCTTTTCATTTTGAAATCAATTGTTTTACGAAAAAAAGTACTTTAAATTAGTTTGAAAGGTCAAACGTGATCTCTAAACTTGTGTATCTCACGAGAGGCTAAACTTGACCCAGACGACAGTACCCGACAGAGAGCCTCTTCAAAGGGGTCCATCATATGCTCCCCTGCCCCAGTAGGGTGCAGATTTTTTGCATGATTTAATCAAGTGAAACGAACGTATCATTTTGCGATATCTGCTTTAGAGAAATTATTTCTTAAGGTTGACCGCTCGCATTGCTTGGAATTACAATGTTGTATCCTTTAAACAGAAAACCGAAACATGCCAAACAAAACAAAAATACGTATTCACGGGGGAGGAGTGCTTTATATGCATGACGTCATGACGATGTGATTCAAATGTGGAACTTATAAAAGACGGTACAAACAGAAACGAAGGAAGTTTATAGAAACGTTGAATCCTTACACCTATTGAGAAAAAAATTCACCTTTAAGTATGCTTTTCATCGGGAAATTTATGGTGTGAATTTAAAAGATGAAAAGTTTGGTGTGACCTAGATTTGTGGCAGACGAGCTCAAACTTGGCTACTGTGATTCGGTTGCGAAGACGGGAAAAATGGAAGGAATGTTCACCGCAGGAAAACAAGAAGAACAATTTTACTAGTGTTTTGACCGTGAATACCATGACTGAAGGTAAGGTTTCTTCTTCAGATGCTTTTTCTCCGCGATCAAAGAAGGCTTCCGCGGCCGAAGATACGCTTCAAAACGGAGACATGGATGGAGCAGGCGACATTAGAACGTTCGAATTTGATGAGTGCTCGGGAGATTTTGGAGTCGTCCTTGAAAATAAAGATCCTTGCAGCCCAAGCCGTGCAAGAACTGCTTTGGGAAATATACGAATCGCTGATTTATTGCCGGATAGTAGAGCAAAACGGGATGGAATGTTGGAAGTTGGAGATAGAGTAATGGAAATAAATGGACGCGATCTATCTAAAGCAAGCCTGGAGCGAGCAAGGTAAAACTCGTAATGTTCATCAAAGTTTATAAAAAACCGCAACAGGTACTTTTTTCATGTAAGGAAGCGTAAATGAATTAACGCCATCATGGTCAGGCTTGTTTACAAAGCTGTATTCAAAAGTTTGTATCATCTATAACCATTTCTCCCTTGGGTGTACTATTAGAATCTGAAACCAGCGATTTAGGGCCATTGCGCTTTATCAGAATGCAATCTTGCGAATTGTCCGACATTAAATCATTTATTCATTGAACTTAAACGCCAGAATATCAGTACCAATGGTGGTGTAGAGGATGATTGTCTGTTGTTTTGAAATAGGGATCGTTTTAGCGCCATTTATTTGTGTTGTATTGGCTTGCATTGTGTGACCTCTTTGTTTACGTTTTTTATCGCAAACCGAGTAAGGTGTTTCTGTTCTCGGCATTTGCGTTCAACGCGTGATAAGAACTAGACTACAAAGAAAGCCATTAATTAATAATTTCTTTTCTCCTTTCAAATTCAGCCTTTAAATAGTAATTTCCATAAGAGAAATCACTGAAATAGTGTCGCTAAAATTAGAAAAGATGATTTTGTTGTGTATTTCATTTGCTATTCACAAACAATATTTTTAAACGTCTCGGTTTTGAGATAAGCTGATATTTGAATTATAAACGCGTATTTAATATTAATTTGAGTGATTTGTTTCAGGTGGTACTTAGGAAGTGCATTGAGGAGTGGAAAATTAAAAATGAAAGTTCTCCGTGGTCCTATTGGGAGAAACATTACACCTGTAAAGAATGGTGTTGTTCCAAGACTTGAAAATATTTCTGAGAGTTCTGGATCCGTAAGTTAAATGAAACAAATTTTTATTTTGACATTCTCAAGTTTGACCCTACTATCAATAGGGTAGAAGAGTAATTTTGTTTCATTACTGTTATAAAGGTTTGTTTTTAAAAAAATTATCTAAAGATTGATTTGAGGTTGAAATACAAAAGTCAACTTCAATAGGATTTTAATTCCTTCTTTTCTACTGTGAAATTTTTAAAATTCTTTTGCAGATCAAGAGCAGAAAAATAACTTACCATTTATCACCTGCAATTAACAGATTGGTGAAAGTGCTTGATCTTAGATATTCAAAACAGAGAATTTTAAATATGTTAATCAGTCAATTTTGAGATGTGTTCTTCTTTGCAGCTTTATACGATTCCTAACTTTAGATTTGATAAAAGTAATAACTGTTGAACAAGTTGTCTGATTGTGCTCGTGGAAGAGGTGCTTAGAGGGATTGTTGTTAGCAATAGTGACTATTGTTTTGACCTTATTAGCTGCTATAATAGAGGCCTTTTCTTGTTTACACTCACCTGGACAAGCAGACTACACCATCAACTGTTACCCCTGGGTCTAGACCATTTATTCGGAGAGTGCTAGCTTCAAACATGTACTGTTAGTAATAAGTATCCCTATGTTACTGCTTACCCTGACTGAAAGCAGGAATTAATGTAACCTGTAACAGACTAGTGTCTCTTCAAGGGGTAATTTTTTTTAGATATAGTCATACTTATGTCAAGAAAAATGAGATATTGGCTCATTAAGTGAGAATGTGGATATTGCAGGCTGGTGAAGCTCAGTACTATATACAGAATTTAACTTTCACTCATTATAACTTGTTACTACACTCACTTTGCAATTGGTGCACATGCAGGAAAATAATTGATATTCTGAGCAATAACAATATTAGTAAATTAAACAACATCCTGTCATTAATAACTTATTGCTTATAATTTATGAAGTTAAAGCAAAGACATATTTTGCTGTGTAAAGTATGGTATACACTGTATGCAGATATTTAAAGACTTCAATAAAATTACAGAAAAATTGGGTACATCCACAAACCTAAAACTATTTCATATTTCCTTTATCATGTCTGAAAGTGATATGAAATTGTTATGTAAAACAACAAACGTTTGTATTTTAGATAATTTATTATATTGTTTTCATGCCATGCATTTTTTGACAATTCTGTAAGAGTGTTGTATACTTGATATTTTATTGCAGAAAAATAGAGTAAAGAAGATACATATTTTAAAGGATAGCCGCGGACTTGGAGTACAAATATTGATGAAACTCAACCATGAAACAGGAGAGAAGGGTGTCTTTGTGTCTGATGTGAGCCCTGGTGGAGCTGCAGCAAGGTACAGTATTTCACTTGTATTTATTAATGTAACTGTCAGTAATGGTTTACAGTTTAAACCAAGTGTGGCATGAGATTCCAAATGTTAATTGACTTTTTAAACTTTTATAGTAATTCAAATTTTACATTCATTTGTGCATGATTTTTAGGTTTGACACTAAGAGAGTACAATTTTTCTATAATTTACCAGATTAACAAAAAAAATCAACCTTTTTTTTTACAGAAAAACCTTCAATTGACATGTTAATATAAAAATTGAGTATGGTAACTGTTAGTTGAGCTTGTTTTGGAAAATGATGGGGTAAATGTACCATCCAATAATTAAAGATTTACCGGAATTCAGAGTTTTGAATTTGATTTCAGCAACTTCATTTTTCAAAGAATTGATTGCAAAGTATTTAAACCTGACCTTGACCTAGTTCAAGCACAAAGTTAAGACGTCATTGTTTCATGATGATGTACTCAATATTTTTATATTTCAGAGAATACTTAGTTGCATGTAAATCAGTGTTATGTAGTATAAATAAACAGTCTTGGATTCTTACAGATGCAATATTTCAAACTTTGAGTCAAGAAAACAAACCAGTGACAGCCAAGACAAAAAACTCAATAGACTAAGAACTAAATATCTAAAAACTAAATGTCTAAAAACCAAATTCAATATTGCATGCGCTTACAACCCAATAATTGAGGTAAGAATGGAGGCCAGATTTAAAGCAGTTTAACCCTAAAAAATCAACCCTCTAATATTTATCATTTGTATCATATTTCTTCTCATAAATGTAAGTTTAAGTAAACAACAGGGGGAGAAGTTGAGATTTACACATTGCATTACATACAAATGATAACTACCCAAGCTGCATTTGAGTCATACAAATAGTTAAAATTATATATTATTGTAAAGTAAGGAAAATAGATGCCTTATTTTATAGATGTTATATATAGTTATAGATAGTAGTTTGTATTTTCCTTTTTTTCTTTTATTCAAGATGAACTACTATCATTCTTAAATAGGTCTGGATAGAAGCAGATATGTAACGACTTTAAGAAAATTAATGACACTTTTAAGATAACAAAAAACATATTTCAACAGTTCTTCTGTCATTTTCAGTCCAGAATAATACAAAGTACAAATTAAGTTGAATTTAAAGTGTATAACAAAATGTTGATTGGACAAAACAAACAACAGAAACAGAACAATATGTGCATTACAAGGAAAATTTTAAGTTAACTTGATAAAGATGGTGAATTGAATGGGAGAAATCTGCTGTTAATCACCAAATTTTAATCTTTTAAGTGTCATCAATTTTCTTAAAGTCATTCTTAATAGAGAAAAACAAAAATTAACCTAGTTTTAAATAATTCCAAGAGGAATTGTTTTTTTAATCCACAATATTAATCTGAGTAAATGATCAACTTTTATGATATTACTAACAAAGAAAGTTTAATTTTAACTGAAAATTGATTTCTTTGTATATAGGGATGGTCGCCTTAAAGAGGGTGATGAGCTGTTATGGATCAATGGCCACAGCTTAATAGGAGTAACACAACAGGAGGCTGTTGACTTACTAAGAGCATCACCAAAGCTGATTCAACTAGTCATTTCAACTCAGGTAACAAACAATATTCTCAGGAAAAGTTCCCTGGCAGAGAGACTCTGTATTAAGTATAATGTAATCTGAATACTGCAAACCATTATCACAAGTGCTAAAGTTTTATTTCTGTTTTATTGTTTTCTCAAAGGTAAGGGGGTCTACTTTGGAGAAGAAGGCAATGGCATCAAGATTGAAAAAAAGTTCTTTGGATAATGTAACAGATAGAGCTGGAATGCAGGGTTCAAAAAGCCTTCCTCAAGCAAAATCTGCAGAAAGTTTAGTGCAGAAAGGTAGAAAAATGTCCTCTGGTCACATGGGAAAGAAAATCAAGGAAGCAGATAAAAAGTTTGAAAAAGGGACCACAGAGTCACAAGATAAAGTTTTGCAACAATCAATGGAAAGTAGTCCTTCAAAAATAGTAGAAAATTTAAATCCACAGAAAGATAATCAAATTGAAGAAACTGACTTGCAGGATAAGTCACATAATGAAGGAAATCATGCTCTGTTAAACGGAAATGAACAAGAGCTGATTAATGGCAGACACTGGTCTTCCTCATCTGATGGTTCTAATGGACAAGAAAAGTCAGACACAAAGGATGTCTTGCTTTCAAAAGGAGAAGAAAGTTTAGAAAGTGAGCCAGTTACTTTAGAGGATAAACCACTCTCCAAGGGGTCTTCAACAAAATCTTTACTAGGAAAGCTACCATCTCTATCCCCTCCAATTATAGATGCCTCAAAAAAGAGAAATTCACCAAACCTTTTCTTGAATAATTCACCTCCTAAAGAAAAACCAACAAAAAGCGGAATGCGCCTAGAACCTGGTCAAATTTCACCTTCCCTGCCAAGACCTCAGTCTCCAGGAGGTATGGGAATTGCTTTCTCTGCACGATATCTGGGGGATCCCCCTGCTAATGTAATGACTAAAGCTATGCCCACACCCCGAAATTTTGTGGGTAGTAATGATCGGGACTCGCCGCAAGCAAAGAAAAAAGGGAGTAATGAGACCTCACCAAGAAGAACCAGTAAAACCATGAAAGAGGAAGTTGTTACCATTGTTCTGGTAAAGGGAATGAATGGAAAAGGTCTTGGGTTCACTATTGTTGGAGGAAAAGGCTCACCTCATGGTGATATGGCTGTGCATGTACGGAATATTCTCCCTGGTGGAGCAGCAGAAGCTGATGGAAGGATGAGAAAAGGTAACTTGTTATTCATTCTCAAAGAGCAATTTTTAGAAAATTGGATTTTAAAGTAATTTTCAAATTCTCACCCCAACAACTTTGGAAGGTTATTCAAATACTGTTACAGTATAACTTTGTTTTTTATTTCACCCTTTAACTCCCATGAGTGACCAAGACAGAATTTCTCCTTACAATATCAATACAATATCAACCAGATAAGTGATGAGAATAAAAAAAATATATCAATTTGGAGATAATTATTTGATCCAATACTAAATTCTCCAAACTAAAACTATAAGAATTGTTTTGCTGACAGTAAGGAAAATTACAAATTTGATCTGGGAGTTAAAGGGTTCAATTAATAATCTGCCTACCAAATTAATCTTTATTGTTTATTGCTATCAAATCAAAGGTGATGAGGTGTTATCAGTCAATGAAACATCTTTTGAAGGGTTCACTCATCAACAAGCCCTGGACACCTTTAAGGTAAAGAATAAAATAGAGTTTAAATCTTTCAGAGGTCAAAACAGGCAAGTTTTGACCCTTTCACTCCTAGAGGTGACCAAAACAGAATTCTTTCGATATCAATACATTTTCAAGCAGAAAGGTGACCAGACAACGAAAAACTATCAACTAGTGGATACTGTTTGATTTGATACCAGATTTTTTTAGCTAAGGTTTTGAGAAATGTTTTCTTGACAGTGTGGAAATTGAGATTGAGCCCTTTGGAGTGAATAGCTTAAAAGGTTACTCTCAAATGCTTGAACTCATCTGTGATTATTTTGGGTTGTATAACCAGTGTAAGTTGATAGAATTCTCAGAATACAGGAGAGATTTGATAAAAAAATTAAAAGATTATAACATGATTACTTAATTTGTCCCATACCCAGTAATTATGGCAACACAAAAAGTAGATTTAAGCTAGTTCATCACATTGAGTTAATGAAGGTAACTACAAATAACAAAATGATATTTTTTTCTGTTAATCAATAGCTTAAAAGTTGATATTATATTGTTCTGTTTGAGAGAGATGATTTATCTGACTTTAGGAAAAGTTGAGAGAATTTTTTGTTAATTCTAGCTGACAAAATAATACCTTTTTGTCTATTTAAAGACAAATCAAGAATTATTTTGCTAAACACTCGCTAGAATTGTTTCTGATAAATGGTTGAACTTCAAACATTGTTATGAGTTTCTGAAGATTACTTTTATTATTGAATTGAATTCACTAAATTAAGTGTTTATCAAATATTTCACTTATTTAAAAATGTTAGGCCAAGTTTGTTATTTTCCAAATTTATCAGCTCAAAGTTGACATGATATTGGAAAAAATAAATTTAAGCTATCTGTTCTTCATAGCCAAAAGTAAGTTTGAAAATCAGCAAGAAGCAACTTTATTTTATTACAATTGGAAAACTTTATATTGATGAAAAGTAACCTGATCATCCCCCCAAAAAGTACTGATTTGTTCAAATTCTCTGATCACTGAATCCAAGTTAATCATTTTCATGTGTAATATAAACTCAAGTAAGTATTGCTTACTCACAAATTTGATATGATATATCTTCTTATGTTTGGGGATAAATTTACATGAAAATTGCTGGCTATTGTTCACAATTCCAACAAAATAAAATCATTTGTTTGTTCCTGGAGAAAAATAAATTCTCCATGGCTTAATTGAATACATTACTACAATGGGTAATGTGTGAAATTGTCTCTTTAATTAAAATAGAAAGTTAAAAAAATAACTGTGAAAATCTGGGGATTTGAGCACAGCTAAAATATTTGACAAATCACTTATTCTTTATGTTCAATGACACAAGACATCTTTCTGACTGTGGGCTTTCAAATGCTTCTATTTATGATTAAATATTAAACAGTACAATGTTCACCTGCCCCTGGGTTATTGATCAAGTGCTTTATCAAAGCAAACAAAAGAATATTGCTAACACAGATTGAACACAGTTCAATTCATTCAGGGTTACAGTTTAAAATCCTCATTGTTGAGAATTTGTTTCAAAAATATACCATCTTTGGCAACTTTGTTCTGACTTTCAATTGGCAGTTCAAGTTCAAATTGTAAAAGAATAATTAAAAATAATTCCTATTTTAAGCTTCTCAATCTGTTGTGCTATCCATTACTAAAGTTTACTCACCAGGTGAAAGTTATACAATACTCGCTGTAGCAGTAAATATTATCCTTGGTTTGTAGAATCTTCGCCGAGGAATTGTAACTTTGAAAGTGCGGAGAAACAGTCCTGGAGCTCCAAGTGCATCAACATTTACAACACCCAGAAATTCGCCAGGAAGATCTCGTCGAAACAGCAGAGATGTGACAGCAGAGTCAACCAGCTCTAGCAATTCATCATCTCCAACAATGTTTCGAAAGCTGCGTCAGAAACGAAGCCAGAAAGACAAGATCAGTGAAATTGTTCTTTATAAAGGTGTGTACGAATTTTTGTTTTTGTCTGCATATCCTTTAGTACTTGTGAACTGACAGTTTTGTTGAAGATAACTTTTGATTTGTGATCCACGCTTCCACAAAATAATTGTGTTATTGTGTTTCATTTCCTCAACACTTTCAACAAGAATAACATATTCTTTAGACCTTTAATTATTATTTAAAAAAACATATACAAATTAGTTCCAAAATTATACACATTTAAGTTTCATTCCATGGTTGATAATTTCTCTGAAGGATATTAGTCTAAATGCTCTATGAGAGATTTATTTAGTAATATATTATTATAGGTTAGCTGCAGATGGTTTGTTGTATCAGAAATAATCATTGAAATGGTCATGAAAGAGCAAAATTTTATTTGGACTGATAATTGGTTCATAAATATTTTGTTGGAAAAATATTCTGTTAAAGAGGTAATTGACAGATATATTTTTCTCAGTTTATGGTAATTATATTATTCAAGAGCAAGGTCAAACTTCACAGGGCATTATATAAGTATGTAAGACAATGATTTATTATGAGCACACAAAAAAATTGTCTCTTTTGAATTCACCTCACTAGAGATTATCATTAGTACCCATCACTAAGCTTGTTTTCTTGGTCTGCACTTTGAGTTACAGCGCAAGTGTTCCGACTTGGATTTATGGCCCAAGCCAGATGCACATGGGTTATAAATCAGGGAGAAAAAGACAAATTTCTGTACTTTACAGTATTTCTGAATTTAGAGGGCTTTACAGTGAAATGCAGCCCACTAAATTGACCAATCATAATGTACATACAAACTGAAAGATATACTTAGAATTATATTATTAGGCAATCAAGACTAAAGAATTCTCTGAATAAAGTTTGATTCAGATGTAGAGGACATTCCCCTGTATTTCATTTTTGTTCATGAAGTAAACTTGTTCTGCCCTACAATTATCAGCAGAACATAGGCCATACTACTTTGAAGTAGCGCCCAATAATAATGAGGCATGTAATGCCCCTAGAACCAAATTCATTTATTTGTTCAGAGGCTTGTGAATCAGTTGATCTTATTTGGGCTTACAGAACCTGGAAGCAGCTTGGGAATTGGTCTGGGAGAACAACATCCATCAACTCAGATACCTGGAATCTTTGTTCAATGCATTATTCAAGGAACACCAGCAGATAATGATGGGAGATTGAGGTGAATTGTTTATTTGTTTTACCTGAACCCTCCATTGACATCAGTGGAAGGTCAGCTACTTAAATCAGGCAAAACAATAAAATATTTGTCTTGATCTGCGACAAATCTCAACCTTTTGCTGGTTACTATTTTTTTTTCCTATGGCTGGCTGAAAATAACTTTGGAAAAAACTGTAACATAACACCTTAATTGAGTATTTCCTGATGGTGTTAACTTATAATTAAAGGAAGTTTTAGTGCTCACAATTTGAAGTTTCCTCAATTATTTTTTATTTTCATTTACAGAAAAGGTGATCAACTCCTTGAAGTTAATGACAAGAAACTAGAAGGACTGTCAGTTGAAAATATATACAACATTCTGGATAAAACTCCTCCAGGAAAAGTATATTTTAAAGTTGTGCAGAACAATGCATCTGACAAGTTACCTCTACAACTTAACGATGAACTCACTAAGCTTCAAAGTGAGCGTCAGTTCCTGGATAAAAAGATGTCAGGGAAATCAAAGAGTTCAGGAACTGCGTCAACACTCTCTGGTGCATCGGAAAGCTCTGAGTCTTGTGGTGAGTGGTTTGAACCCTTTCACACCTAGAGTGACCAGCATCATATTTCTCCTTATAATATCACCCCTGAATCAAACATTAAGGTCAGGAGAATAAAGGAAAGGATCACCAACTAAGCAGCTTTTGCCTGTAAAGCTTGTTCACCTTGTTAGGACCCAAGGAAATGTATAGAGAACTGTATGGAGAATTTGCATACTAATGTTCTAGGGTGTGGAGGCTTTAATCAGCGGATGGTTTATTATTAGACAATTTAAGCCCTGATCAACTGTTAGCTACAGATTTACAATAGTGCACTTTGCATTTGAGTGTTGGAGAACCAAAGACAAGGTAATCACAACTCAGAAAGAACGAAAATACATAAGGAGGCAGTACAAACTCAAAGTGAAAACAAGTAAACTGCTGAAGGACAACAGTACCTAAAATACTGTGATCTAACCTCTGTAGAATGTCTACTTATAAAGGTTATCCACGTTTTTGAACATTAGAGTTACTACTAAGTCTTGCCAATAATCACAGATGTGCATGAGGCATGCATCAGAAGATGGTACTCCTTTTGAATGAGAACATTTGTAACTGATGGTCCTGCACATGTTTTTCATATCCTGCTTATCTGTAGGTTATTCCCTTAATTTACTTTTTCTTTGCATTTCATTTGTTTTTTACATCTCAGACAATTTTACAAGTCTTTCCTCATCTTGTGATCTCCTCATTCCACATTCTGTCGAACAAAACAAGAAAAAGAAGGTAAATGGTTAATGAATGGTGATTGTCTCTCTGAACTCTTATTGTTGTCACTAATTAGTAAATTATGACGTCTGTCCTTTAAGTTATTGTTTCTCTTTACAGGGACCAAAATACTTCACAATATATTACTACAAAAAGCCTGAAAGGAACCATGAACATTTAGTATTGAAACCTAGTTTTCCAGTTTAATATTTCTGTTCCATTTTCATATCAGTCTCAAACAGTTCAAGAGTCAGACGACGATGTTTTCACTCATGAACCTGGTAAGACTTATTTTGAAGGCACCTGAAGTATTCATCTTAAAAAAAGAATTAACTGAGACAAACAACTGTTGAAATAAAGATAAGTCACATTTGAGGTTATAGCCTCTTCTTGGGATAGGACCAGTAGCATTTATAACCAGAGTACCAAATGGTGAAAGAAGGGATAGTCAAATTGAGTGCCAAGTGTGATCATTGGTATCAATTCTGTTGTTCCCTGCATTCCCTTTACATCTTCCCTCTTGCCTTCCCTTTACATGCCAACTAAACAGGTCATAAGACCAGTTGCAAAATAATTTATTTGTTTATTACTAATTATATGAACTTTTTTCTGACCATGTCATGTTCAATTATTTATTGTCACAGATTCTGCCGAATTTCTGGAAGACATTTACACAATTATAAAGCAACCTACTGGTAAGCCAAGTCCCCAGATAAACTTCGAATAGAGAGGCTCATCAAAACTTCCCAAGGAGAATCTCAACTCACCGCTGTGGTTTTTTTCTTGGTAGGTGGACTTGGCATGGGTGTCACAGTCGACAAGTCTCGTGGGAACACCATAGCTGAGGGCGTGTCAATTAAAAGTGTAACTGAAGGAGGATCTGCTGCTTTGGCAAGAGGCTCTAGGGGAGTGGGGCTAAAACTCGGTAAGTATGATTCTTTTCAATGATTTCATTGTCCAAATTCCAAAAATTACAAATTTAGAGAACTATCTTCAGTAAACTACACGGCATGAAATTTTGTGCCCGTTAGTTTAAGAGCAGATTTCTCTGGTACGTAGAATTGATACACCAAGGCTTCTACTTTTGGTAGGATGTGTCCCTTGTAAAGAGGACTAAAATGAAATTATCTTCGGTTAGATCAATATTTGTGACTCCTGAATGGAGAAGGTCCCCAGGATAAAAATAGCCCTTGAATATAGTTGTCATAAAGAGACCTTGAAATGGAAAAGGAAAGAAAGCTTCCAACATAACTTTAAGATAAAGACTTGTAAGACAGTCCGAAACAGATCCTATACGTAATTTGGTTTTATCAACTGAATTGAAAATGTTAATTATCCACCGTAAAGGGTGTCTAAAGCTGACGTTTCGAGCGTGAGTAGACAAGTTTACTGATAATAAGATTTTTTTAAGCAGGAGATCAAATTATCGCAGTCAATGGCACCCACCTCAGAGGAATGGACCAAGAAGATGTGATCAAGATCTTCAGAGATCTACCAAGTTCAACACAAATGAAAATTAGAAGGTCCAAGATGACTCTCCAGGGAATGGACTCTAATCAAAGAGCAAACAAGAGTAATGAGCCATCAGACAAAACTGTCCCACAAGACCTTACGCCTCTTCCCAAACCTCCGGATAGTAAGCGAAGGTCGAGCCGTAGGGGTAAAGTTAAACCTGGGACACAGGAAGAAAGGTCACCGTCATCTGACAAAACTGATAAAGTACCATCCTCCGGGCGTGTTAAGGCGAAAAAGGAAAGCGATACTCCACATAAAGAATATATTGCAGAGAAAAAAGACCATAATGGAATTAAAGATGTAAGAAGCTCTGACGATCAGGAGAGAAGTAAGGAGAACGAAGAAGAAGAAGCACGAAGTACCAAAAAATCACCGTTTAAAGAACAGATTAAACCAGTCGCAGATGTCATCAGCACAAGCAAATACTTAACAAATAAGAATTCAGAGAAAGTTAAAGACCAATTGGGGGACAATCTGATAATTCCGTCTGGCTACAGGAAAGTGGAAATAAACATAAAGAAGGAAGCTAACTCCACGCTTGGTCTTTCTTTGGTCCCAAGCTATGGGAATCTCAAGGGGTATTTCCAGGTAATAGCAGTGGAACTGTAATCAGTGTACATGATTGTTTATGATTTCGGAAGATAGGTGATACTAACCATGCTTCGTACTCTCACTGCCCATATTCAATCAGAAAAACTATGCGTGTGCAGCTTAACCGCTGTTTTAAGCCTTTAGCACGAACTATTTTCTCTGTGAATCCTGTTCTATGTCCCGTACATGTCCATGGCTTAAAAAGAAAGTAGCACCAAATGCGTATGATTTTGTTAGCTAATGGCTTCGAATTCGAGTTTTGCAGCTATAAAAATGTAGAAGAATTTAGGAATCCAGAGCAAAGTGTTTCACGAAAATAGTTAGCCTCCCAGTTAGATCAGTGTTTTCCCCGCGAGTTAAGGTTGGTATTTAAGGTATGTTCTGGCCTTTTTCCAGATTCGTAGACTACAATCTGGTATGGTGTGTGCTCAAGATAGACAGCTACAAACTGGCGATAAACTTGTTTCAGTAAATGGCGTGTCCTTGAAGGGTGTCACTCACTCGATGGCATTGCAGTTGCTCAAGAAGCCAACCGAACTTGTCACGTTTGTGATATTACGGGAAGGAGAAGATCCTCAGGAGAGAGTTTCAAGTCCTGTTAGTGAATGGAAGTCCGATTTATCATCTGGTCAAAATTATACTTTGGCTCAAGACAGCGGAACACACGGTGAGCTATCATCGTCGTCGAGGAGAGAAGAGGCCAAAACGTTGCCCTGCGCGGAAAAAGCTGTATCTCCTAGCAAGTCTCAGTGGAGCAGGGAATTGAAAAAATTAGAAAGTCGAGATGAACCTCATTCAAGAAGTAATGAAGATAGAAATATTGAAGAGGATATACCAGAACTGCCTTCTTCACCGCCACCCCCGCCATTACTGGATGCAGACGATCTTTTAGAGAACGATCTGTCTATTGCTCTTCCATCGTTTTCTCCCCCTCCTCCACCAGTTCCACCACCAATTGACGATGTCTTGCCTTTATCACCAATTCCCGTTGTTTCTCCACCGCCTATTCTTAGTCCAAGAATGAAGGAATTCCTGGAGCAAGACCCCTTCAGGGCTGATCGCCATGAAAGCAACAACATACAAGACGACGAGATCTCACCAGAATCCAGTATTAGTCTTAACCAAGCTTGTTTCCGTGGTAATAAAACGGGTACGGGTTGGGATTTTCAGTCTTTGCTTGATGCTTGCAACGATTTGAATACAAACGAAAACGATGATGAGTTTATATCTGGACAAACTACCAGCACAGAAGCTACGTCGTTGTCAGGAAATTGCAAACCTAGTTTACCATCAGAGACTATGAAAACAAAGGACACTTTTTCAGAGAAATTGTTGGAGACGAGTACAGGATCTCCTGCAGAGGAAAGTGGCCACGAACAACAAAACCTGGATTTGGAAAAACTTTCAGCTAAACCTAAATTTGGAGTCGATAAAGGTCTTCTTTCCCCAGTTAAAGGCCCCAATACGAAGAAAATGACAACACCATCTATCATTAAACACAAAATTGACGTTGATGTGAAACCAGTTGCTGGTAGAAGAGATGAGAATGTTCCATTTGCTATTATCTATCAGAAGAAGTTTAGAAACCTTGGCTTTAAAGTGGACCTAACAGAGGAGGGGAAAGTCATTGTGTCAGATGTTTCATCATTTGGCCTAGTAGGAAAAGATGGGAATATCAGGTAAGAATAATGAGAAACCGAAGAAGGACTGTTTATCATAATTTGTTTTGTTTCACATGGCGCACTGTTTGCTGCTTGCTTTTCTCTGCTTACTTAAGACGTTTTTTTTTGCAGCAGGAACAAAGCAAAATAAGATAAATCCCTTTACTTGCTTGCGATAGGTGAAAATGGTTTGTGAATGCTCAAGGTAGAAATAGGTAGTTTTAGGATATCGATAAATCACTGTACTGCGGAAATTCACCCCTGCATTATATCATATACTAGCACGTGTAGGTTACGAAAGCGTCTTGTCTGCTTTTCATTTCAGGGTTGGAGATTTTCTTTTGTCCATTAACGAGACCCCCCTAGAAGGAATGGCCTTTGAAGATGTCCATAATATGATCAAGAACTGCCCAAGGGGAGATGTGAGAATTGTGGCCCAAGCCGGACCTAAACCACCGAAACCGACAGAATTACTTGAGGAGAAAGTCTCATCTCAGAAGGAAAAGGGTGAACTTGACGAGATACCTGACAAAATGAGCTCAGCAGACCGGGAATCTGTACCAGATGTTTTGTCAAGTGTGGCAGCCTACACACCTTGGGTGGACATCTCTAGTGAGCTTATCTCCCTGAAAACATCAAAAACTTTTAGTGGACCAGTTTCAAACTTACCTACAACAAATCATATACCAGATCCTGAAGAAAGTGTTACTTCTATAACTCTGTCCCAAGAGCTTACTGATGAGTTAATTGCAGCAGAAGGTTGCGAAGGCAGTGAACTGGAAGGAACTGAATTTGATGATCTTCCTCCATCTAGTCCTCCTCCACCATTACCGACAGATGACGCAGAAGAAGAAGAAGATTATTCAGGTGAAGTACCTGAACTGTTAACGGAAGACATTGTAGAAAACTTATCTTTGAACCCACCAGCCAATTTTGAGGACTTTGTTGACGAAAATCTTGAATCTGCGTTATCTTTCGATTCTGAAGTGGAGGAAGCAAACACAGTAGCACCACAGCCTCCGCAGCTATTCAGTCAAGATGCACAATCACCCCCCTCATATCCTGTTCAGAAGAAGGAGTATTTTAATGGCAATTCCGATATACCATCCGGTTCACAAGAAAAGCAGAAACAGCTTACTGAGAACTTAAAACAACAGGCACCCATGAAACCTCCTAGATTGTTTGGAGATAATATAGGAAACGAAAGCATTCATAAAGAAGAACCCTTGGAGCTCATGAACAATTCTTTTGTGCAAGATGCAGCTGCTTTGGAGTCCTTGTCGTGGAATGGACAGGATAAAAGTCCAATCAAGCCACCAAGTTTGTTTGATGACGAGCTTGAAAGTCTCCCAAGCTTACCTAGAGGTCCGCCACCTCCTAAACCAAGAAGACAAGTTATTAGTCAGGACACAGTTTCCTCGACTTCTTCGTCGCCACTTCTTTCTTGTTGGTTTGATCGGGAATCATCAAGTCATTTACCAAATCTTGAAAGCACGAATCTTATGGCAGAATCTGGATTATCTTCCCCCTCTCATGAACATACTTCCATATTTGGTATACCAGATGCTTTTAGTGACGCGCCTATTCAGCTACTGGATGATTTAGATGATGACATGTCGAGTCTTCCTCCTGCACCTCCACCACCTCGCTCTCAAGTCAACATGTCATCTAGCTGGTCTGTTGAATCTGATAAATCGGTCCCATCGTCAGGTGGAGAGACACAACTTACACACATCACCAGTCCTCTACCACACCCTGTCAAACCAGAACGAAAGAATTCCAAGAAAAGGACATTATCCTTGCCAATCAGATCAAAAAGAGGAAGCAAAACATCGGAGCAATCTGGTTCCTCTGGTAAAGGCGATGAACTCCACGAATCGCCAGCTTACCCAAGTCAGGTGGATTTTGTTGCTCCTATAACTTCAAGCGATGATAATCAAGCCCATTCATTGACGCATGATGAGCCACCCGAAGATGACATGGAAAGCTTACCCCCAGCCCCCCCTCCACCGAGGATTTCACCTCTCACAATGGAAAGTTTGGAAAGTTTTGGAGATGGTTTACAAGCTGTGAAAGTTAAAACCAGTCCAGGGCTTTCAGCCTCTGAAGAAGATAAAGCCAAATCATCATCTGTGAATGCATCTCAATCCTCTCCAAAGAAAAAGAAGAAGTCTTTTCGAAGAAATGTGATAGAGATGGAGGCTGAAGGATCCATACCTGAATTTAGAGGCGTGTCCGTTAAATTCCCTGTTGTACACGAGACAGACCACGCAGCAGACGGTTCCTTGAAGCAAGATGTTACTCCTCGTGAAGATGAAGTTGCGGTCACAGATTCGTCTGATGCAATGTCCCCACCCCCTTTGCCTCCAGAAATGGAGCTTTGGTCAGAGGCGGGAGCAGCAGAAGCAGAGCTTGCTTTCTTGGATCAGATATTGACTTTAGAAGATTTGTCACACTCTGGCAGTGAGCAGGACAGTGAAGGAGGAAGCTCATCATCCTCCAAGCCACCATCATTGTCCACGGAAATGTCAAATCTGGACACAAAATCCTCACAAAGTAAGGAAGGATCAACAGTTAATACGTCACAAGAGACACATGGCCACACCTATTCTATGATGTCAACAGAAGGCCTAGGCCAGACCAACATCGCCTTTTCATCACTAGAGGAATCTTCAGACACGGGCTCTGGTGGAATACCTGATTTGGAACCCATGAACTTAAGTTCGTCGATCAATTCGACAGAAGCAAATCCAGAGTCAGAACTTCATTATCCTCCACTTGATTTGAAAGGGCGAACAGAAAGCAACGCAACACATTTCAAACCAAAAGATAGGCTACTCAAGCAACCAACTAAAGGTGAAGATTCGGCAGAGAATTTCACTAAGCAAAGGAGGCCAGCTCCTCCTATCCCTTCAAGACCTCCTGGTAAGACGAGTGGCGCCCCTCGAAAATCACTTCCAGGGGGTATACCTGTGCTTCCCTCTAAGCCTGATGTTAAACTTAGAGCAACTTCTCCGCCACAAGAATCAACGCAGAAACTCAAGAAAGAACAAGAAAGACTATCGTCTCCAGTGAAGGAGAAAACATCGAAGAAACTGTTCTCAAGAGGTCATAAAGGTAAGGACAAAAAAGCTGATCCCGACCATCTGCAATCACCGGACACCTCATTTGACGCCAATCCTGTCGGACGTGAAAGATCGCGATCCTGGACCAAGAAGCTGTTTGGCTTTCGCAGTAGAAGTAGAAGCAAGAACCGAGATAAGCCAAAGGATGGAGAGAACAGGAGTCGATCTGTGTCACCTCCAAGAGGATTATTTTCCAGATCAAGGAGGTCCAGTCCACCTCTCCCTCCACCGACGACAAAAAAGGATCCTTTGGGTAAACAAAAGAAAGATGCTGGGGTAAAAGACCCGGTTCATGAAGACGTTGAAAAACCAATATTCAATGAAACTAAATTTCTCTCACAAACATTGCCATTTACTTTTAAATCAAGTGATCTATCCACACAGATGAAAAACTATGTAGAAAGGAACAACAACAACAAATTTGGTGTGTTGACAACAAAAGACGAAGACATGAGGCCTGAAGTGGCGACAAATGAAATAAATTTTCAACAAGCTGAAGATGGCAGTTCAATAGAACAAGATGAATCTTGTAGTGAGAATGCTGATTTGGATCATGAAGAGAAGGAATATGAAATTGATATTGAAGGTGTAAGTTTGTTCACTGACGATGATGATGTGACGGAATCTCATGTTTATGCGGGTGTGGATACATCCCTTGCAAACAGGCCACCTTCCCCGAAACGTGAAAAACAACCGAACACTAGCGCCTTGATAACAGCTGAATATGAGGAGCGTAAAGCCGTCAAAGATAACTTGCCAACGAAATCTCCTTATAAACCTCCTGTTCCAAAAAAGCCCACTTTCCTGAAGTCTGTCGGTACCCACAGTAGACAACAACAAGAAACTATGGACGAACTTAAACAGAAAATTAGCAAAGAAAGAATGAAAACGTCACCATTAATAACTGAGGATCTTGACTCTGACACTGAAGGTAAAGCCATTGAGGACAGTAATGTTTTGCCATCGCCTGGTCCACCAAATTTTAAGGCTGTACCACCTCCGCTGGCAGTACAAGCCAGTTCAAGCCTTGCTGAGAAGGACGACTTTAGTACAGCACCACATTGTCCCAATTCACCGGGTCCTCCTAGATTCAAACCTCCCCCACCGCCTTTATCTTTGAAGCCAGCCACTGTACAGAATGATACCACAGGAGATGAAACATCAGATTCTCCCGTATCCCCGGGTCCTCCTAATTTTAAGCCAGCACCTCCGCCCATAGATTTGCTTGTTCAAAACAAGAGCATTGATTGTGGAAACGAAGACCTGCCAAGAACAACTGGTGCACCTACTGCCAAACCTTTACCTCCAATTCCTGTTCTCGGTAAAAGTAAAAAACGAGAGGACGTATTTCCAGCGGAACAGGGTGCTGCAGAGGACACTTATGATGTAGTTGCGCCAGCACTGCACAATGAAGAGCCTCGAAAAACCAAACCGTTACCTCCAGTCCCTACTGACCTGAACCTGAACACTACTGGTAACCCCTACAAGCTTACACTGTCAAGACAGAACGCTCAGGAAGTTGACAAAAATGAAGATTTGAATAACCCTGAGATATGGGAACAAAACACTGATCCATCACCTTCACAAATTCTCCTGAATGAATACAATGATTATCCACAATTGTCACAAGGAGCAGAACCAGTTGTTACACAGAATGTCAGTCATGAGGTGAATGCACATAGTACCGACGACTTCGATAGTTCAGACGTTTCCTCTGAATGGGAAGATACTTGCAGTTCGACTCAAGAATATTCGGGCCAACCTTTGCATGGTAATAAAGTGGCTAGAAGTGCTAGTTTCTCCGCTGGAGACGTTCCTATGCAGCGTCCCTCTATTATTGATGAGGAGACGAAGCGATCAACTCCTGTTACCAAGCGTCCCCCTCCTTTTTTCCGTAGAAGGTCGTCCTCTTTACCTCAGCTTCTTGCCGACTCACTCACAGGTCAAGCGTCTGAAGGAAAAGTTGGGCAGGCGGATTACTGGCACACCGGAAACCTTCAGCAGCTTATCGACAGCAGGAACCAGGAGGAGGATGTTGAGGAAGGAATACTAGAGGTGCAGGTGAGTATCGTTGTTGTAAAGGTTAAATTTGTCACAAAAAGTAATCTTTGCTGTTACGTGGATCGAAATCTTATTTTCAAAAAGTTAACAGGAATGGAAGAAGGAGTGACAGGGTAATGGATGGAAGGAGTGAATTTTGGGTCGAAACAACAACTCGAAAATGGCTTTTAACTACTTCCGAGTTTAAAGTAGGGATTGGTTTAATTACGTTCTTTCTTGTGTTGTGAACGTGGAAAATGCTTGGTGTGTGATAAAGCAAAACTATTACCTTAGGGAAATGAAATCGTTGTTTAATGACGGACACTAACTTTGTTCAATCTTTTAAATCAGCAATGCGAAGATGGCTAATTGATTTATTTTTCCTTGATTACAGCTTCTTAAAGAACAGAAATCTATTGGCTTAATGGTCGTGGGAGGTCTGGACACCCATCTAGGCATGCTGTATATAAAAAATATTCAGCCCAACTCTCCAGCCGCCAACTGCAACCGACTCAGAGTTGGAGACCAACTGTTACAGGTCAACGATAATTGTCTTGTGGGAGTAACTCATAGTGAGGCTTTGAACATTCTTAAGAACACACCACCCCTGGTGAAACTCACTGTGGCAAGAAAGAAGGATAATGGAAGTGATAATATTGAACTAGTGGCAGAGGGAAGGCGTGTACCAGATGCTGAAGAACCTATCGTATCCTCCGCCCGTGAATCGAGCACAATTTCAAAGACTGCGTCAGATCTGCCCCTAAGCCCACCTCTTGACAGGGGCCAACGCCCTAAGTCATTGATAAGCCTTTCGTCCTTTGGGGCGTCATTTAATAATGATTCCTCTCCAGCCTCTCCATCTGGTTCGTTTGATGATTCTGATGACTACATCCCCGCCTACCTGGAGCCAGAGAGCCCGACACTGACCCTTCGTCAGGATGACGTTCCTGTGACTATTATTGATGGTATTCCTGGTGAGTATGACTCCACGACAACCGAGGATGAAGAGGAAGTCAAACCTGTCACTAAGAGCGTCACTTGGGCGGTCAGCAGTGACGACGCTAAGGTGTTTACCGTAGAACTCTTGAAAAATGGCCGTGCAGGCTTGGGACTGAGTGTCACTGGGGGAGTGGACACACCTCATGATGACATCATGGTGAGTATCAATGTCGTTCCCAGTATCACCCCTCTCATCTCGCACTTTCTTGTTTCTTACTCGCAAACTTTTGTTTGCCAATCTGAATAACACGTTAACCTTTGTTCGTTGCTTCCTCATGAACGCCTTGTTTATTATAATTCTGTATTCTCGCATATGGTTTTCTAATTCCTCCCTAACAGCCTTATCGTTCTCCTTCTTTTTTCCCTGGCTCTTCTGGTTCTTCTTTTCCTACAGCACTCCTTCCTCCTCATCTCCTTATTTTTCTCGTTACTGTGTTCCCTTCCTCACGCCCGCCTTCTATCGACCTTTTTCCATACTCCACTCTTTTCTATGTCTCCTTTTGCAGAGTGTGACACTTTACCGTCTTAATTCATTCCTTCCCTCTTCCGTTATTCCCTGTCTCGGTGCGAGTGACGTGCTGGCGGGCGCCGGCTAGAGCTAGAGCTAGAGCTTACAAAGCCTTGTCGTTGTCATTCTTTGTTACACGGTGGACTGTCAATGAGATAATTAAATTTTTTGGAACCTTAGAGTGCTTTAAGTTAGCTCTATAAGCCATGTGGTAGTAAAATCGTGAGCTCTTTCCGACCGTCTCTTTTTTTTTAGGTGCGGCAAATTCTCTCCAACAGTGTCACAGCTGACAATGGACATATCAAGAAGGGAGATATCCTATTGTCTGTCAACGGCAAGTCCTTCAAAGGATTGACAAATTTAGAAGCCTTAACTCTTCTCAAAAACACTCCTGAGCGGGTTACTCTTGTAGTAAGCCGGCCATTAGGACACAGACAACAATCTAAAACGATGACTCTTCTTCGAAACAAAAGTCCTAACAAAGAAATTACCTCTGATTCGGATGCTTGGCCTACGAAGGAAGAATTGACTAAGAAGAAAAACATGGCCAACTCAAACAATACCACACCGCCAACCCTAGAGAAAATTCCATTAGATGTGGTGAAACATAATGGAGAACACTCCACCTTCGATCGTCTAAAGAAGAGATTCTTCTCCAATGGTGGACCGATAAGACTGCAAAAAGTGCCTCATGGGCCCTCTGTGACCGAATTAACGCTCGAAAAGGGGGCCTCTGGATTAGGGTTCTCTTTGGGTGGGGGTCAGGATTCGCTCTATGGTGATGCTCCGATTCATGTGAGGTATGTGTTCAAGGAAAGCGTGGCCGGGCGGAGTGGTGCTCTGAAGCCTGGGGACGAAATCATTGAAGTGAATGGACAAAAGGTTGCATACATGGCGAATGTGGATGTACTTGAGCTGATTAGAAAATTGCCATACGGACCCGTAGTTATGAAGATAAGACGGAAATAACACAAGGCGTGGCTGTTATTTATTTACACAGCTGGCCAATCGTAGCACGAATGCGGGAAAGAATCAAACAAACCGCACGGTCAGAAATTACAAGACGCGCCTAGTGCGCGAAAAGAGAAGAATCCTTGTTCACAATTGAACTCAACAACATTATTTAATTGATTACCAAAATTAATCTGAAATACCATAAGTTAACCTCACCTCGCTTGCCTGTTTGGTCCAGAAAACTCCCGCCAACCTCTCAAACAATCAGATTCAAAACGAAAACCAACTTGTTTTGCTCGAGTTTTATTCGTGCTTCATGCCTACCACAAGGTTTATGGCACTGTTCACCTTAATCTGATTGGTAGTTTTGATAGCGTATGATTTGGTTCACCACACTCCATTGAAAAGCAATCTATTTCAGAACCTGATTGGCTGGGAAACGTTCTGGCTTTGATTGATTCCAGCAGTTCAGATATTTTTAACCAATCACCAAGCTTACCTATATCGCGCCTAAGTGGGTGCATATGCACGTCGTTGCTGGTAGGTTGTTTGGGTGAAACGTTTTGCCGTGACATTAGAGTAAGAGGTAAAATTCTACTGCATTTAGTACTGAAAATCTAATCGATACAAAGTCAACAATTTATTTGTTTTACTGTAATTTAAATGTCGACTTTCGCTGATTCCAATAAAAAATTTACCATGTGAGATCTTCGTAATTTTTATAAATGTCTTAACAACACGATAGGACTAATTTCAATTGTATATACTTTCTGAGAGAAGCGCCCAACCATATGCAATCAGATGGATACATGTCAACGTGCTTTTGAAAGAAAAGGTAGCACTTTTTACATTAGTTCTCAAAGCATTCATGTAGTTATAATTTATTCGGACTAAAGTGTTACCTCGTTATTTCATTGGTCATTTCAGTAATAATATAATCTGTGAGAGAGAAATTTATATTATGATCAACTAATGGTTTGTGCTGGGTACAAGCATTTCATCTGTGCCAAATATTGTACATCTTATCAATGAATAGCTGTAAATAAAATTATTTAATTTTTTAGATTTTGTATTCGTGATTATGGTTGTGTTCCTTTAGGAGGCTGATCAAGCCTGACATCCTAACTGTGATTCTTCCAGGATAAGCAAGGGAAAAATTTCCCTTGACAAAAGACTTTGTCATTCAGCTTGAGCTTATCTCCCTTGCCAGGTTACCCCCGCTCCCCCAGCATTTGGCCCTTCCCCTTTGCTCTCTTTCCTTTTGACCATCACTCACCCCCTTGGTACAAGTTTCTTTCTCTCCACAGCCTTTTACCGTTGTAAAACTTCATAAGATGGCAAGCTACCAACTTCACCTCGATAGTGACATGCATTTGCTCACCAAAACTGCTCCTGCTCTGCATGCCAACCTATTAGAGAAGGAATGCATCTCTTTTCACAGGCTACAAAGTTACATAACTCTTCCCAGGACTGGTGAAGAGAAATCAACATTTACTTTTTCTTCTACTGGATAAATCCACAAGGAATAACCTTTAGAAGTCTGGCAAAGACAAAAAGTCTTTAATTTTTTGCAAGAATTCTACTATAATATTTTTTGTTCTTATCAAGGTTAGTACTTGGCTGACTTAAATCCTAAGACACCAATTCAACAGCTTAATAGTTAGGGACAGCTAACAATACTGTAGTTATTGATTACGGTTAGCTCTTCTCTAACAGATATCAAAATGACTGAAAACTCTTATGGTTTTCCAAAAACTTGGCCAGAACATCAACGGTTTCTTGAAGCGATGATATTTAAGAATGCAAAACGAAAAAGCCATTCTCTGGGTCTTTACATCTGTCAAAAAATCAGTAATGTGAAGGTTTCTATCAAGTTCAAGTCATAATTTCCAGACATAAATATGCCAATTCTACAGTGCTCTTCCACAATTTCTGTGGCAGAAGAGAGTTTCTGTAGGGGAAGGAGAATTTTTAGAAGGCAATTGCTTTGTACTCTTATGGATCAAACCTCTTCCAGACATATACACTCTATATTTCATAGCTTTCCCTTTAACAAGCCCATCTGAATCTCCTCTCTGTCCTCATATTCTAATAACAAACTACATACCAGCTATCCTGAATACCTATCACCAACAGGGTAAAACAGAAATGCTGCTACTCTGTTGCTTGTTAATGATCTCAGGTATAATAATTACAATGTTCCCTTTAAATTATTCCCCACTGGCTTTGAATGTATACAGGAAGAGCTAAATACGATATTACTCAGCTATTTATTAGGTATTAATTAGTATGAACAATGTATTTTTACAATTAATAGTATTAAAAATAACAATACTTCAATCATGATTGTTCAGCTTATATATGAAACATTACACAAATTCCCTGATGTGTATACTTTTTCTGAGAAATATCCAAATTAATCATTTCAAACATCCATGAAGTATGCTAGAATTTCATAATAAACAGAAACAACACAAGACTAAAAAACACTCAATTCCTTTCTTAAAATCCATTCCTTTGGCCATAATTACTGTCCTCAACTGTACCTTCAACTACCTTACATGACTAATCCTAGACCAACAAGAAAGTGTTCATTACTTGTGTGTATATAAGCCCTTTGACAGAGGACACAAAGAGAGCAAACAGCTTTTCATGTTCAAGAGTACTCAGCTTTGGGTAAGGAATTATAATGCAACCCAGTTATCCTACACTAATTTTGAAACAATGAATGAATACCTAAATGAAAGAAAAAAAAGAGAATGGCTTGAGCACATTTCCATGTTCTCCGAGTTGCTTACTTCAAGGAGTTATGCCATGGTTTGTGCCCAATCAAAAGTTTATGCTGAGCATGTACAGGAGATTACCTGGTTTCACCATCCTTGTTCATGATCCATTACTCTTCCCATATATGTATTTTTCTATTTCATCACACTGATATTTTGTGACTTCTCTGATACTGAAGGCAATATTGTGTGATGGAGATAATAGATTGAAATATCATGGCAGAACTCCTTCAAGCAACAAATGTCTGTGAAAAGTGATTTTATGCACCAGATGAATCCTACCTACATTTACCCAGAGTCCTTTATTTAATAAATGCAGAAATAACACACCACATGACCTCATTAGCATTTGGTTTCTGTGCTTGTTCTTCTGGTTCAAGATCTAAAAGGTCCTTAACACGTTTCATTGCTAGTTCATAATCGTCATCTGACAGTGGAGCAAATGCATTCTCCAGAACATCAGAGGAGTGAGCAAGATAGATAAGCGACAAAGTCCTCTTATCCATTCGATGAGGATCATTCACCCATTTTGATAAAACAGCCTCCTGCACTTTGCGTACTACTCTTTGTTTGGAAACAGAATCTACAAGAGGGTGGGTAGTCATGTCAAACAGGAGGAAATTCTGTTTCTCAGTTGTAAGAACACCTTTTTCCACAAGATTCTTTGCCAGACGTTCACGGACATTTCTCAGTTGATATCTAAGCTTCAGAGGGTTCCAAGTCTCACCTGTCAAAGAAAGAACAGTGGAAGGTCTCAAAGGTATTTCCACAAAAATCTCAATCTAAAACATTTTAGAACTAAAAAACTGCTTCTTGTAAAAATATGTATGACCAAGCCATTTTTTCTCTAAAGTAAATTTTTCAAACTATTCTTTATAAATGAACAAAGTCTATTGTGTGGTACAGAAGCACTCTTGAGCCAAAAATTTATCAAGAGGCTTTGAAAATGTACCACTGTTAACTTGGCACTTAGCACTGTCTACCGTACAGTTTACATTGTTAAATTGCTACAGCTTTTACTAGTAATATCTAAATACCAATTCTCAGCACTGTCTACTGTACAGTTTGCGAAGCTTAAGCCATGAAAATTTTGTATATATGAAACAATTCACCCTTGCTGATATTTTTCTTTCTTCTCATAAAGATTAAGCTTTGAAGTGTATTGGTGTATTGACATTGAGCAGAGACATTCTTTTTTGTTCACACCTAGGAGTGAGTATAGAAGACTCTCTAGACCCTTAATATTGTTTTATTTCTAGGATAACTATTGTTAGGAAGTTCAACATTGAACTGGACAACTGCAGCACTTCTGGTTATAAGAAAAAACATTTGAAAAAAGGACAACTTGAAACATAGGGCTTAGGGCAAGATATCTACTAATCTTACACAAATTAGAATTCCACCAAGCATACATTTTTACCACTACATCGTAGAATAAAAGAGGTACTAATAACACAATTTAAACCATAAAATAAACAAATGGTGGCAACGTTTAACGTGTATGGTACTGTAGTTTCAGACAGAAACAAGCACGCACTAATGTCTTTCTATCGAAAACCTAATTCTGTAGCAATGGCCAAAGTAGCCACAGTTCTATCCCAAAAGTTAAGGTATCCCATGGATAAATCATATTAGAAAACTTACTCCCGGGTGAATATTTGACTATAAACAGCAATATGCTAAATAGTGACACGTTAAAATATCTCCAGGGCCAACAGATCTCATTACCATATGACCTAAAAGAATTCAGCTTTTTCGGAGAAACCTTCCAGGCTTCTACAGGGCTAAAGAGGCTGTGAATCTCAAAACACAACGCCTGACACACAAACCGTAGATCGTCATGGGAAAAAAAACAGATAAATTATTTGTCATTGTCATCGCCAGAAAACAAACTGAATTGTTTTACGCGGCCGTGATTATAAAACATACGATAGCTACAGCGTAAGCTCGAAACACAAAGTTAAATGTATTTGAGTTATGGCGAGAAAATCGAACCTCTCTAAGAATGTGGCATAAATAATGTTATGGTGTTTCGTTTAGTAAACTACAATCGACTTACCACTAAGAAGTTCTATCCAGTTTTGCGCCGTATCAGGCGGATCAGTTTCTTTAATATGTTTCAAGGCCTCGTCCAGCAAAACATCACCTGTTAGATTATCATTCTTGAAAAGAACACGTCTGTTAAGCAAGCTTTTCCGTCGCATTCCCGTTTTCTCGAGTTCAATTCTTCCTCTAAGACCCAGTTCAATCATCATACATCCACGCAAGCCCGAAGAAATACAGTCATTCCAAAACGACGTGTAACCCTAATTGGAGAAGTGAAACTCTCCGTTAACAAAGACCTAAAAAATTTACACCAAGAACAGTTTTAAAAAGACTACCTCTTTGTCTTTTAGTCCCAACAGAAGCACTTCTTCCATCAGAGTGAGTCTAGTCTCTTTCCTATCACCAGATTCCCCGTCGCTTTCGTAACCTTCGTTTCCTTCGATGTCAGGGTTATCTTCTGGCATTATTCCGCTCGAAGCTGTACTGCGTTGAACTAACTGCCCTGTTCTTCTGGTTGCCATTTTCAACCGAAAAAGAACTAAAAAAGCAGAGATGACGGCCGGTCACGAGAAAAGTACCATTAACTCCTTTCCTGTTTAGCCAATATGGCCGTGTTGACCAGTTTACAATAGTGATAGATCGAAGTGACCTGTGGGTAATAAGCCACACATTCTACCTTCCCACCCGACCCTGTAGTCGACAGCTTTGATTATAATAAATATTCTGCATTTTTCGAGATTCAAAATATCACTAAGACATCCTACCACTTCATCATGTAATTTCTTCATGAGATAAATTATTCGTTGCTTTACAAACTCATTTAGGCTGCATCGTCTCCAGGTTACTTATCTGTGCATGTGTTTTCTGATACAATTTTTAATTTTGGCAGTTCACACTGACGTAGAGATTTTATTTTTAATTGAAAACATTGCTGCCACATCACTACAAACGGACCCCGGGACCTTAAAGCTGATCAAACAATAATGTACAGATCAAGAGCATGCAGATAAAGGCCTTCCATTATCAAAAAAAAAAAAGAAAAAAAAGGCTAATATTATACAAGGTTGATTATTCAGACCTTAACATTCAGATTTATTACAAGTTAATGTTCTGTAGATCGTTATATTAGCATAGCTACACTACGTCATTTCTGCATATCTTTTGTGCATCCCTCAGTGGAAATTAAAGAAAGCCAGTTTAGAAATGGCGTTCCAGAAAAACCTGGATGAAACTTCCACCAATTAATTAAGCAAAAAGGAAAATTAGGTCAATTGAAAAATTGAGCAATATTTAAAATGAAGAGCGGAAATAATGTCTTATCAAAAAATGTCAGCAAAAATTAATCGATTAACCAGCGAGATCGGAATACTCAGGAAACAATTCAAATATATTCGGGGAACGGGGCTCTTGATTTAAGATATTCGTGTGGCTCTGCACTGTCGATCTTTATATCAAGAAAATATTTCTTCACTTTTAAAGAAATATATAAACTTTATTTTAAAACAACAGCTGCCGTAACACCTGTTTAACGTGTGTTAGTAGGAAAACACATAGGTAAAACACAGATATGTTTTTAGGGCAATGTTTTAAGAATTTTGAGTGTGCCACGGAATTTTATGTCTCAGGACTTTCAGTTTCATTTACATGGTGACATATCTCTTTCCTTTATGGTTCGATATAATATTTTTCTTGAGTAATCACCTAAATTATTCAATTCTCAATTGGACCAGTGTTTGATAACGGCCCTTGAGCCCAGTTATTTTAAAAATTCTAACAAAACAGAAATCAACCCACTTACTCGAGGTAATTCTTCTTAATTTGAGGGTAACTTTAACAAAGGAGAAAGATTCAGTGCATGTAAATATAAACAGGTGTATATTTGAGAGCCTTACAGAAGCCGTCTTGATGGGCATGTTGAAAAGATGTGGAATAAGATCAATGAAAGCAATTTACTGCTCTATTAGCCAAGAAAGTTTGCAGTGGAGTAAGTTTTAATTCGGTTGCTTAGGTAATTTTTGCCATTTTTTTTTCTCGTATCTGGGGACGTTTTCAGTGTTAAAAAAATTTAAATGAACGCGTAACGACTCAAGGTACGAGTGTTTTCAATACGACCACGACATCCGGGAACAATCACGAGATATTGTTCTTGTCACTCAAACATAAAATTCAAATCTCCTTCCCCTGCGTAATATCCTCTATATTTTCGTCCCTCAAATATATATCAGTCATTTCTGACGATTACAACGCACTCCTTTTTCTTATACATTCTTGAAAAACAAAAAAAAAATGTTCTTTCTCTTTATTCTTCTTTTTTTCGACGATTTTCGATATATTTTTTAATTGTGTCAGCCTCTAACTTGGACCCGGAATTATTCACTTTAGTAAACATCAGTATACGTGACTAAAAACACAGTTGAAGTGGAACAGGTCTTCTGATTAATTAGGAGAAGACATCAATTATCTTTCTCACGCGATTCTGTGCGTGATCCTGTTAAGAAAAAAGAGCAGAGTAAAAGGGGTCTAAGGAATGATCGTGGGGGGAGGGGAAGGGGGATGAGGAGGAGGCCGATGCTATTTTCCCCTACGGTTCGAAGTGCTCTGAGATATATTGCAAAGGGGGCAAGAATATAATTTCCAAGGCGTCTAAGGTATGACTGTGGGGGGAGGGGAGGCGATGCTATTTTTACCTGCGGTTCGAACCTCCCCAAAATATATTGCAAAGTGAAGAAGAATATAGTTTCCATTCTCTACATTAAAGGCTTAGAGACATGGTTAAGATATGATGATTTATACGTGATATGATACGCTGAATTATACACCGATGCCTCTTAATTGGTTCTTGCCAGGAGCCCATTACTTTAACTTTGATCTATTGGAGGTCAAACGCATAGATGGCGTCTTTATTAACTACATTTTGTTTTTTTACCTTCTAAAACAAATAGATTCCATGTTTCCCTAACGTAATAGACTACAGATGACGTCTAAATGCAATAAATACATTACTGACACACTTAGCTGCGCCTCGTTTGCCACGTTTCGGTTCTTAACTCAGTTTGACGTCATCTGTGATCTATCATTGAACAGACGCACAGCAACGTGGAATCCATTTTTAAGTGGTGTGAGTGGCCGGCTGATGCCTGTGCGTCCTGTATGCATTTTCGAGCTACCGTTGCATGGTTGCATCAGTAAGTAGCGCCCTGACTCGATTGCAATGAAGAAAGGGCTGGAACAAGGTGCCAACACTATAGCAATCTGTAAGAAATACAGAACTCTGTATCCGTGCTCAAATCAATGCAAAGACGGTTTGAATAGAAATAAGGGTAGAGATGAATAGTTGAATGTTTGAGGTTTGACGGTGTTAAGGTTCATAAGCTACAGTGTTACAATTGCTTTTCTTTCATCTCGATAATTTTTATTACTCTCAATTTCTGGCTCATTTCAGCTTGCCTCTATTTTGCTCTTTTTTCAACTGTTTCTTGGTATATTGGCTGCTTGAGTCCATGACCGTTTCTACTTGTTCTTCGCTAGACAGTTTCTTGACGGTTTGCCGAAGTTTGCGAAAACTCTGTGAAAATTACTCCGCAGGTCAATATCCATAACTTTTTTTTAAAACTATCTTTCATAGTTTCTTTTTTTTAGTGGTCGGCATATTTTCAAGAAGTATCTGCTGTTACCTTCGGAATTACTTCCCAAGACTATTACAGGAAACACCTTGCCACCTGAGTCCATCCTGGAAACCAGCAGACCATTAAGCCGAGTAAATAAATCACACGAAGGATTTGACCCAGACTTTGTAGTCCTTTGACTATGCACGAGAGAGGTCTGAAACGGTTTGGGTCCCTTTAACATTTTCTACTTTCAACGGATGTTGATACGGCATTTATTGCACACTGAAAAACTTTAGCAGAAAACTAAAGCAGTTTTTCTCATTTTTTGTGACTAATGTTTTTTATCATGAGCAACAAAACACGGAAGACAAAGTTTCTGCGGGGCTTTTGACCAGCGGGTAGTCGCTTAGGAAATCCAAAGCCATTACCTAACTTCCTTCCAGGCTTAGAGAAAAACAAAATTAGAAATTAACAGAAAATTATGCCCTGACGCAATAATCTGTAAAAATGCGTGTTATCTGTATCACTAAACACGTCGGCAGATGAAAGCTTTCGAGCATGCAAACCTGAACTGCTTCGTCTAGGGGTTGTTTTCTGATATTGAAAGAGTTGTTGATAAGTCTTTTTGTGTTATGGTAATTAAACGAATGAATTGCGAAATCTCTTTTATTCATCTAACAAAAGAATTCCAGCAGCTCAATGACCCTTCCGTTTCATGCACTGTTTAACGCACGTCTGAGTTGTTTATATGCTTAACAGAGAGCTAAGTGAGTTATAATGATAGGTATGTCGCTTGACGACGCTTGAAAAATTTGAGAAAAGTTGCCCGAAACTTTTTCAACTCCTAAACAACAGCATTAGCTGACTCAAGCTCACAAGAGTATCATTTACTCTCATTAGAGATTGATTGACAAAAATTTCAGTTTAAGGAAACAAATACAAAAAGACTGTTTGCTTTGAACGCCGTCAGTAATCTGAATTACACAAAAAAGCCGGCCAAAACGTCAAAATGTTTAAACAAGTTCGCTCGCGTTTGAGTCTTTCGCACAAGGAGCCGTTGGAAATCGTGTTCGACCCTCCCAGCCAATTCACGGATTTGAATGGGGCAGCCATGGACTTCCAGCACAATCTTCCAAGACCAGAGTAAGAACTAGATAAGTTTTTGTCCTGTTTGGTGGGATTACCCACTAAATTTTGGTATTTTACGATGAGTTCCAGCAGTTTTTGTTTGCTTTTTTGGCACCGGTCAGTTAAATTCACATACTTGCAAACTTGCACCTTTCTATCGACGGTAAAATGTTTCTTTCGACTGTATACATGGTTGAGGTCACGTCTTTACGATTTGTTTTGGTTAAACAGGCTGCGTTATTGGAGAACTGTTATTTTGCTGAACAGAAAAGATTGGGGTTGAGCCAGATTGATTTCCATTTTAAATTGCACACAGACGCTCAACTCAAAGTTTTTCTATTTGTTTAAATTACCAATTTTGCATAATGTTCAGTCATAAAAATGAAGTACTCCACACTTTCTCAACCGCTTGGTTGACTGCCGGGCAACACAGCTAGTTTAGCCTTAGAATTGTGCAAGTGTACTATTTTTGAGTTAGGTTGGGTACTTGCAGTTTCTGCGAACTTCAGTCAAAACTCAAAATAGCCTTGTTTTTAAAATATAGCTTTAAACATGCAGCGGTTGAGATCGCATTACTTAATTCGTAGAGATACCGATCTGAATATTATATTTGATAAGTATAATTGATCCTCAGATAAATACGGATTGATTAGGGAACGATTAAAATGATTATAAATTCAAAAGAATTCCGTGCCGCCTTAAAATAAGTTCTCAGCTCTACCATTAATCAGCTCAACTCGATTGATAATTCAAGAATTTTCTTCAATTTTCAGTCGAAGGTACGCTTCAAATTCGATAAGCACAAGTCTCCTAGTTATAGACACTAGCTCAAAAGGAGAAACACTGGTCTTCTGGTCACAGATATTAGCTCAGAGTTTTGTATAATGACATCTACAACTCGAGTTGAATGACGTAAAAAGTATTAAGTGTTTTCAGCGCTGGAGGTCACAATAGTAGCGTAAAGATTAAATTATCTCTCTCAGTGCCTTTGCAATATTTGCGTGTTGCCATTAAGGTTGTCAAAAATATCACAGTAGATAAATATACTGTCGAAACCAAAAAAATCTTGGCTACGTTATATAAAACTAAATCGGGAATTTTATCATTTTTAAAAAATCATTTTCTATTCTCGTCTATTTTCAATGGTCATAAGTTCTTTATTTCCTTTTCTATAGTGTTCTCCTGACAGACATTGATTGAAAAATGTTGAAACTAATTCCAATATATATCAACGAGTAATTTCCTTCCCTCGTGTGAATTTCGAGAAAATCATATTTTATGACCAAGAGCTGCGAAAAAAGAGAGGAAAGCACTCATTTTTATTAGGAATAACTTCGTCATTTTTCTCGTGTGAGGCTATTTTTTATCTCTGACTTGTTGTCGGTCTTCTTACAAAGCTTTTGTGTTTTGTTCCTTTGCTTACACACAATATAAATAATATAAAATTTGGCTGCAAAGTTGGAAAAATAAATATTATCACAGGTTAAATCTTTTGCATTTGTAATAAAAAAATTTTCGCTTTTATGAGAAAAATTAAAAGCAGGGAGTTTAGAAGTTAGTTAAATTTGCATATTTTCTTTTTGATTTTGCTAAGTTGATGTCCTTTTCCTAAAATATTTCGAAACTCCTAAATTTATAAACATCCGTTAAAGTGGAATCCAAGTTGCTGGCGCGGTTACCTAGACACAGAGTGTGAATAAGATCAGTTGACATGAATATGAAGAACATCTTGCAGTAAACTGAGCTTCGATAGGATATTGCCGCGAGAAAATAGCTTATTTATCCATGGGGTAAACTGGTCTTTTTTTTTACTTCAGAAAGTGGTCATAATTTAAACGGGAGTATATTTTGATTTCGTATCGATGTATTTCCTCCTCAGGGAGCAACCGGTATTTTCGACACGGGCCCATGTATTCCAGATTGATCCTGCAACGAAAAAGAGCTGGCTACCGTGTTCCAAGCAGGCGGTAACTGTATCATTTTACTATGATCCTAACCAAGGAACACACCGAATCATTTCTGTTGATGGCGCGAAGGTGAGAAAATAGCGTTTCTCGCGAGATAGGTCGCCTTGTGTTTATCAAGTGAATCTTTATTTATTCGCTATTCTTAGAAACAACTGCGTTGTGATATCTTGTTAATCCCAGTCATTTCTTGTTCACTAATCATGGACAATTATTGCTGGAGACTGTTTGGTGCGAAGTTTTCACAAAGGAAGTTTCTTTGGTTGAAGTTTTGTTGTATTTTCCTGTTATGAAGGAAGTCAGTTTAGTCGCTTCGAACAATATGGCAACTAGCCAGAACTGAAGTGTCCCACAATTAATTGTCTCCCGACTGAAACTATATATTTTCAGAAAAAATACAGAAGTTTTGATTGCTAGTCAACAAGCGCTTTGGAGTAGCTTTTTGAAGTTGTAATCTTGTAAATTTAGTGTAATCACTCGACAAGGAAATAAATTTTATGCATTCCTGAAGTGCAGCAAATGTAATGCGTAACAAGAAGCCTTGTCAAAGGCTAGTTTGTTTTTTTTTTTTGCCTATTTTGCATGTAGACGTCGTGTGTCTATGAATTAATGCTTGCATAAATTTTTCTCTCATCTCTCCGTTTGAGAAAACAGCGTAATTAAAAATTGGGAGTTAAGGTAATTTATCAACTCATTTGAAGCCTTGATGATGAATGGAACAATAAAATTCGGCATGTAAACATTTTATTACGTTACGGTTTCACGATTTTGAATTGAAAATTTTTAAAAAACGGAAACGAAAAGTTGAGCTTATTGCTTTAAAATTAATTGTGCGTTAGGCTTCATTTTTTTTCCACTAATTTACTTCACAATGGACTTTTTGGTTATTTTTAATGTATGTGCGTATTGATTTTACAAGGTACAACGTTCCATGTGAACTCAAATTTGTAAATTAATGTTTGACGAGGATAACGATGAAGCCAGTTATTTGTAAATTGTCATCGTTTTTGCACTTTTATGATGTTAACAAAATTGAAGTCAAATATGTTTTCAACTATGAATGTGTGAATACTGTATTGATTGAGCTGCTTTTGGTCATTACTGGAAACTGGAAACTGAATCAAACTGTCTCCTTTGAAGTAATGATTTATTTGGTATTTTTTCGTGTGATAGTTGATGAAATTTACTCACATGACACTCCAAATAGCATAACCTGAGGGCTCATTTGAAAATGTTTGTGTGTCATGACAACCTGGCTAGATTTAGTTTCAATGGATATTTTTATACATATCTTCAAGTAAAAACAAACGAGGAAAATTTCCACCTCCTCAACCCATAGGACACAAATACATGATAGGCCCCCCTCCCAAACCTCACAGGTGTTATGATCCTAATTTAAGCACCTTTAACTACCTTATTATATATTTTTCTTCCAAATGCTCAAACTGATGAATTTCTTGAAGAAAGGTTATGTGTCATGTCGTAACCCATCAAAGGCAAATTTTATCAAATGTTCCTTCCTGGTGAGAGAATTCAGGGAGATTTTATAGGAAAGTAGATTTGTATGTGACATAGAGTATCAATATTCTGTTTCAGGTTTTACTTTGGTGTGCCAAGATAATAAAAGGTTTTTGTTATTCCTTTTCAGGCAATTATCAACAGTACTGTATTAGCAAACATGACATTTACTAAGACATCACAGAAGTTTGGTCAGTGGTCAGATCCCAGGGCAAACACTGTGTTTGGATTAGGATTTCCATCAGAAGCTGAACTCAACAAGGTTAGGGAAACTAAGTCTGCTTCCCATTTTTTTTGGCTTTAGATTTCTAAGTAAAAGCCATAGTGTAATTTACTATTATATGTGTTTGAGTTTTCACAACTGCCACTTTGGAAGGTCAACTCGGCATACAATGCTGCAGAAGTTCTGAATCTTTTTCTGGTTTCTTTAGCAAGAAGTGGCTTGGAATAAAGCTATTACTTCTGTGCAGGATGGTATTTTATTGCAGTCAGTTTTCTTTCTTCTCATCTCTTTTACTCTTGACAACATGCAGTGATTGTAAGGAGAAATTTCTTAGTGATCACTCCTAGGAGTGAAAAGTCCCGTATTGGAACCATGGGGGTACCAAGTCATTCAACAAACTGAATGAAGTCAGGAATGAAAGTTTAAACTCTGACTATAGATTGCCCAATCATGCTTTGAAGCAAAGGGCTGTAATACTGTTCATTAAAGCTTTCAGCTGCAGCTCTCATATTAAGTCTTAACTTTTACCTTTTGTAACAATTAGTTTGCAGAGAAGTTTAAAGAAGCTAAGGGTGGCACAAAAACAGTTGTGAGCAACAACAGTGGAAACTCCAATTCTCCTGCAGCACCTGTTAACGCCGTTACTACTAATGGCACTTCAAGTGGATCAGTAAATGGAACAACTGAGTCCCCTCACAGTACACCTGGCGCTGGTCACAAATCTCCATCACTAAAAAGTAACTCATCTGCGAGCAGTGGTGAGGTAGGTACAAATATTTTTGTGTTAGAAGAGGCAGCAAAGCAGGATCTTGAACCCATTTCACATCCAAATTTTTGGAACATTCGCACATCACATCTACTTTAAATAGTATTTTGTGCATTACAAATTTAAAAAAAAAAAACTTTTAATCTCTCTTTACCCTTCTTTTCTGTAAAATTTATATGTAATGTATTATTTTTAGGCATAATTCACCTTGTTGGTAAACCATTTGCCTCCTTGCTAGGTGGTCACTGTAACTTAAAAGATGCCCTTCAATTTAATTTTTTGGATAATATTTTTATCAGAAAGCTTCTGTTTGTAATATATTTATCAATCTTGCCAAATAGTGATCAGATAATCTGGCAAAAATATGTGGGGTTACAGAAACTTTTAACCAAAAAGAATTCCAAATTCACTCCTTTTCCTTTTGTTAAGTTTGCCATGAACTCATTGCCAAATTTGTATTAAGGGTCCTGAAATTTGATAATAGCAATTTTTCTTTGATGTCCCATTGTTTGAAAACTGATTTAAATGATACTTAAATAATGGAAAAATGAGATTAATTTCTGATCAGCAGTATCTAAATCACCTAGGCTTCTTTTGTGACTTTCAGGTTATGTCTAAAAACACTGGTATGTTAATCTGCTTTAAATTGTATGCTTTCTGTAAGAAGTTGGCCATTGTATGCACAGCTTGAATCAAATTTTGGGCACCAGGATTGAATTGTTTTTGAGTGCTTGAAGAATTGAGAATTCCAGAGTTTTAAAAGGGGATTCCATCAATGTTAAAATTTGAATGTTAATATATTTTAAGATGTAATGATTTATTCAATTTTTTGTGCTATTCTGATGTGATCTCTTTGTTTTTTAACCTGGAGGGCTTGTTTGTGCTTTTTAAAAGGTTCTTACCTGTTTTAGATGTTAAAGAACTTTCTTTATCTTGCAAATGCAGGTTGATGGTTGCTTACAGATATAGAATTTTTGAACATTTCTTTTGAGGGAGCTGAATCCTTTTCAATCAGAGATTTACTTTATCATCCAATGAATCAAATATTGGCCAGATTAAAAGTCATGGTTGAATGACTGTTTTCTTAATTAACATCAAAGTGCTAATGAAAACTACTAAACAGAAGATCTGAAAGCTGTTTTCATTTAAGTGTGATTCTTCAAAGCATTTTGACTACTATAACGTTTTATGAATTATTAACCTGTCATTGTTTTGACATATTTTTGTTAGAATAACAACCATATTTTTACAATAAAGTTTACTTACTTGGACTCCAAGCTAATATCAAGTGCAAAACTTTGCTTACCCCCCTCAGTTGTAATAATAAAACCAGTGACTATTTTCACTTAAAAATACAATGTGGCAAATTTTTGTTAATAAATTACTTGAGTCTTTAACATGATTTCACTGCATATGTTTAAAAAAAGTCATGAGAGATTATAATAATTTTAAAAAGACAAATTTAAGCTTATTACTGATCGAGTCATGATTGTTGTGGGTAACACTTCTGTGCTAAACTTTAAGAGTTTATAAGCTGTATGTTAAAACTGTTGGTTTATACACCTTTGTATATGTTCTGATATCAATATTGTGTAAATAACAGCAGGCCAGTAATTGTTGTCATTTTTGACAGATGACTGGTTATAATAGGTGATTTAACAAAAGGCTTTGTATGGATCCTTTGCAAGACTACTAAAAATAATAAAAAATTTCAGTAGCTATATCATCATGCAAGCCACATATCTTAAATACGGGTTTTTTTTCTGAATCACTTCAACTTACCTAATGCATCTGTTCAATTGAGAAAGAACAAAATGGAAAAGTTTGTTAAAAGAAAAGTATCTTTGCCAGCATCATTGAAGCTGAATATTCCTGTAAAGGTACATTTACAAATTCTAAATTACGTTCCTCACTTTTTTAATACACCAAGCAGGATGCATGACTGTGCAAATTTTGGTTGTTTTCATGAAAGATACATTGAAGCCATTTGAGTAAGGCATAGTTTGTATTACTGAAAGTTTTGTCAAAGGATTCCTTTTCTATTCATTTTGATGTATAGTCAATTTTTGATTGGAGGTGCATGTCAAAGTGCTTGCTAAATTTTGCCAGAAGTTTACAGAGGTCTAACTTTCTTGGATAGTGGATATGTTACATATTTAGTCGCCTTTTCAAGTTTGTTCTGTTTGTGCCCAGAAATGATCTAAGTACACCATATAAAATAAGTTCTTATGTATACATGTAGCTTTATCTTGCTTCCTGTAAAGTTGAAAACAAAACTTTCCCTTGCTAGATATGATAAGTTGTTCATTGTGGCCAGGTAAACTTGTAAGTAATGACAGAGCATTCTTGTCCAGCTGAGTTGATTTAGATGATCTTAAACGTTTTTACATTTTAGGATGAATCAAAAGAATCATCTGGGATCAGTCATAAACTGATTGGAAATACCGAATCTCAATTGAAATATGAAAATGATAGATTGAAGATGGCCCTTGCTCAGAGGTAGGTGAAATGAAAGTTGGGCATTTTTCACACACTTAATGCAGTGTAACATGAAAACTGAACAGTAAAAATTTATAAATTTTGGTCACCATCAAACTTCAAAACTTTGATCAAGTGAAACAAACAACCTTTTTATGCAACACATTTATTGCTCTGATGAAGGAGTCTGGTTGTCTGTGTATGAATCTAACTCCACAAATATTACTGCAGTTCAACCAATGCTAAAAAATGGGAGACAGAGCTGACAACATTGAAGAATAACAATGCAAGGTTAACAGCAGCACTTCAGGAAAGCACAACTAATGTTGAAGAGTGGAAAAAGCAGCTGAATGCCTACAAGGAAGAAAATGGTAAACTCAGGAAAAAGGTGAGCTATTCAAAATATGTTAAGAACATTTTAAGTTTTCATGTTATCAATTTTTTCTGACAAAACTTCGTGGGCACAAATATGGTTTGGGCCGGAATCAGAGTCATTTTAGCCTGAGCTGCGAGGTGATCCTGAGAAGAGCCCAAGAAGAGTGTAAACTGCATTACTACTATAATTATCACTTGAGAGGGCTTCAAGGAAATAAGAACTGAAAAAAAATGACAACAAAACAGTCTGAACAATGATGCCCATGCATGCAAGGGGGCTAAAATTCATTTTAGTCAGCCAAAATCTATATTTTAGGCTATAAAATGCTCCACTGACCAGCAAAGTGATAACAATGTCTGTTTTATGTCTCAGGTTTCAGCATCATCTATCTTGGACTTAAATGTACAGTTTAGTCCTAAGTGATTTACCAAGTATCAGAGTTGTTTCTATTGTTGTTTTTTTATGAAATAGAAAGAAATTTTAATTTAAGTTTTATTATTATTAATTATTAACTAATATAGTGCAGATATCACTATTGAGGTATTTTTATCAGTATATTTTCCATATTCTCACAAGAAAACTTATATAACTTGATGTCTAATAGCTGAGACATTTTTAAGTGCTAGCTCACATGTATTTCCTTTTTTGAAAGGTCCATGAATTAGAATCTTCTGACCAAGTAAGTGAGAAATATAATTCCCTGACACAAGAGAAACTCACCCTGGATGGCCGTGTGATTCAACTTGAGAGCATGATCAGACAGAAGGACGAGGTGAGAGAAGCAAGACGCTGCATGTTGTCAGAATACAGCATGCTGCCTGTTTACTCAAGCATGGTTATCCAGATGTAGTACAATGAAGCATGTTCTGTTTCTGTCAAACCTAACCATGAAGTGACCTTTTGCAGTTCAACAAGGCTATTTATACCAATTTTGTTTCTTTACTCTGCAGGAAATCACCTCTCTGAGACAAGCAAATGCAGAACTCACAAACCAGAACCAGGTTGGTTATGAAATCAATGAAATGGACTACTCCCTGGATGAAATGATGTGTAGCATGTGATGAGCTACTCACACCTTAATCCTCAATCAGCTCATGGCTCAACCTCCTCACACACTTTTCTTCCATCTGAGACGTTTCATTTTCAATCTTAACTTTAACGCCAGCATGTTTATTATCCATTCTGTTCTTCATCCTTTCCCAATGGCACTGAAAATTAGAATTTTGTGAGAGATCAAGAGCTTTTCAAGTTTGCGACCATTTCCTAACAATTCTGATGAGCCTTATGTTCAATTTAGTAGTGATAACTTGGAGAGAAATTAGATACTAGTCATCCTTAGGGGTGAAGGTGACCCAAACAGGGGACTAATTGCAAGCTATTAGTGGCAGAGTATCCCAGCTATATGTTCAGTAGCAAGTAGATTTTATTGTTCCATGTGGCAATTGGAAGCTGGGGCAGTTGCACACCAGGAGGCCTCCAAAATTGAATCCTTATATTTCATCTTTGAGTCAAGAGCATTCATTTCTAAATAACTTGTTTTTTTCTCTTTTAGACAGTGCAGCTTGATAATGAAAGACTGCAGTTAAAAACAGCAGAGATGAGCTCACGCTTGAATGAGACAGCTTTGAATGAAACACGTGTAAAAGAGCTAACTGAATTGCAGCAAGAGCTTGCTTACAAAGCTGAGGAGATTAATGCTCTCAGCACACGACTTGCAGCAAGCCTGGAGATGACACCTCCTTTAGCAGAAAGTTGAATTGTAATTGAGTGAATTTCTAGCTTTTTACAGCTTTAGCTTTCAGCTGCTAAACAGCAAAATAATTTATTTATAGAATAATAATAATCAAATGATTAGTAGGTGATCAGCTCTTTAAATTGCTGAAGTGTGGCATATAACTTTAGTTAACCTAAGATAATAATTATGCATGTGTGGTCTACAAATTTGGTGTGCATGATTGTAAACAACATGACCTTCATGCAAATTACATACTTTCTGGCCTGGGAAACTACATGTATGTTGTGGAATTCTCATTTAACAGCTGTACCACACAGTAGTGGTTGATTCCTGTTATACAAGGTTTCATTATGAAGTAAAATGTTCACTATTGTGTGAAGTTTCAGTAGTTGAGTAATTTTGAAGCTGTTATCTGGAGTATTTAGATGTTATACTCAACACAAAGATTTAAAAGATGCTTCAAAATAGCAGTAGAACCTTTTCTTTTTTGTAATCAATTTTTTTCTTTTTAGGCTAGAGGGAAAAGTTTTTTTGAATTGAATTGTATTAATGTACAAATCTGTGTATAATGATACTGTAAGTAACAATAGTATATCGCCTAATGGTGACATTTAAACCAGTGTGTGATTTCATTAGGGTCAAATTTTTTACTAAAATGATGACAAGAGAGAACTTGTAAAAAAAAATCATCAGAGTACTTCAAATAAAATTCAGTAGTGGGTAACTGATGGTGATACTTAGCTTTACACCATTACCTAAAGTAAACAGTATCAATGAAAATTGCACTGCTCCTTGCCTTTACATGGGTTATTATTACTTAGAATTACAAGGCTAGGGTCCTCTAGTCCAGGCACTTGTAAACAATTGCCAATGGAAAGAAAAACAAAAAGGGTGGATGAGAAAGCCCCCAAAAAACAACTGCTGCAAACTGCAGCAAATGCAGAGTAGTAGAATAAATCTGAAGCTGAGCCTGTTGCCATGAACCTGGCTAACTTGTCATTGAACTAAATATACTGCTGATAGTAAGGGGGAGGGATCATCATGTTGTCTGTTCCACCTCTGTGGCCATTCACAGTTTTGGAAAGGGAATAGAGGAGGTGATATCAGGAGAAATTGGTTGCAAAATACAAATTTAAAACTAATCAGCCCTCGAACCAAAGCTGTCCATAAGTACAGCAGAATTTTGTGCTTTCAATAACCCAAAGTAACAAAGTATTTCTTCTCCCCCATGGATGGGAGGGTAGTCCATCTCAAAATACCCCCCCCCCACCCCCTCCTATTTCCTCAGTATTTGCTTACACTTTGGCAGTAACCATGAATACTCCTGGGTGTAGAGAGAGGCACTGTGAGAATAAAGTATCTTGCCCAAGAACAGAACAATGACCCTTCCAATTAGAGTTTCAAACCTGCACTTCTTGATATGAAGTCCTGTGCAAAGGCATTTAGGCATCTTGGATCTTCCACAAAATAAAAATTTAAGAGAAGTTTTATTGTGTTGCAAGTGGATTGTTTATTTCTGAATCAATAAATTCTAAGTCAATTAATCTTCCATCAATTCAAGTCTTAAATAAGGTTTGCAGTCACCATCCAATTACTTTATATTCTTGACTGATGAAGTTCTTCTGTAATCAACTAACTATTAACAACACTAGTAATTAGAATCACAAATAAATAGTTTGACTGTAACCATAATATTTCCATAATTTATGTACACTAAGTTACAGCTCATGAAAACTTTCTAAAACGTTTTTTCTCTATCTTAAAAGGTGATCAATAAATAAGATATTCATTCTTAACTGAGAATTTGTTGATCTTCTACAGAGGAGGGTGCTAACTCAGCCTTTCTCTCTGCATTAGTTCAAGTGAACAAGTTGTGAAGTCAAAATGGAGAAGAAATGACTGCATTTTTTAAAAAATCCAAAATACCAGTTAGTGATTTACACTCTGAATGCATTTACAGTTGAATCCCTACAGGCTGAAAAGGTCAAATCTTATGCTTGTATACAGTGATTTCATGTCACTACCTTAAAGTTTTTCTAACAAATTACACATTGCAACTTGCTTCATCTTTTACATCCGGAATTGGTGTCATCTTGAAGCATATGGAAAATACTGGAATAAGTGGTAAGGTTTGGCTATCACTTGGAGTGACATTCTTCAAAGTTGTTGAAAACACAGAAATCATAGGTTGGCTACAAAATGAACGACAAAAACAACTTGGGTGGCCACCATTTCAATAAATAAATAAGAAAATAAATGCACCAAACAGAGTGCAAAGTGGAAAAATGTATGCATATCATTCTGTACAGAGAGATACAAATTTTTTTTGTACAAAACATATTAAATGCTAATCCATGAAGCACCACTAAATATTCTAAAATATAAATACATCTACAGGGATACCAGATTTATTTGTTCTATGTTGTTGAGAGTGACAAAGGTACAACAAGATTTGAGTGCAGATATCTGTATGGTGCACTGATGTGAAAGACTGCTTATGAAAGCCTGCCAGAGATGTGGAGAAAATGGAAATGCAGAATCCCTCTTGAAAAAATTTATTCTGCAACAAATACAAACAAGATAGTCAGCAACAATGTCGAATCTATTTTGACCAAGTCACTTAGAGATATTCTCAAAGCTGAAGAGGCTAAAGAATTCCTGCCCTCTTCTAGAGGGTTAACCCTTTCAATCAAGAGTAACCAATGAATAATTTCTCCCTAAAACATATCTATATACAGCCAAGAAAATACGTTATGAGAAGAGGGCAAAAAATAAACTTAAAGTATGATTTAACCTCATATCCTCAGAGCCTAGATTGTAGGAAATGTATGCCAGACAAAAAGGAGAATTGATATTGAGATCCTGGTGTGAAAGGAATAATAACACAAAAGCCCCATTCAGACAGTCATGGTAGTTGATGCTAGATGACTAGATCATGCAACGAGATTGCATTATTGTAAACAAATACAATGTGCACTGAAGTCAGACTATTCTGTGGCATTTGAAATTTTACTCAAAAAGTTGCAAGTTGAAGATACTGAAGCCTACCATGATATGATGAGAATAAACCATGAGACATTCTGAAAAATTTTTACAGCTATTTTAGTCATTTTACCATTTGCCATTTCAGTTTGAGCCTGGTTTTGGCTAAACTGTTTACCCAAAAACTATCATTCACTATCATCTGCTCATTCAAACTGCAAAAACTATCATCAACTATCATGATGAATTTGAGCATAGTCGATGATAGCACATGATAGTTTGTGTTTTAATGATGGTTGAAACTATCATGACCCTTTGAACAGGGCTTGACTCAACAACTCTCATAATGTTTTCACCAGGGTGCAAAGAACACTACAAAGCTATAGATATGTCTATTGAACAAAAAAGTATTTCCCGCCCTGTACCATTACTGGTGTAGATATGAAAGATAAAAAAATGTATATTGCATGATGTCAGAAGAATAACCAGTCCTGGCTTGCATTACTGGGAAATAAATTTATGCATTATTAATACCAAAAATCAGACCTAATTACCTTTATATGTCTGGGCATTTAATGACATCCTTCAACAACAACAATGATATGACAAGGAAAACAACATAGAGCTGGAACATGGCACCACCAAGCAGTTTGGACAATCTCCATTTACTGACAGCAATTGCGATAACTACAGCTATCAACATGATGAAGAGCAAAAACACAGAACAGAAGAGACCTGTGCTGTTGACAACCATAGCCTTGCCAACATTTGCAGCACTGTAAATCAACCATGGTAGAGGCAGCCTGGGCAGAAAAATTAATATTAAATATGTCAATACATGCAAAGTTGAAAAAGAGTTTCTCTAAGCCATTAGAGATCTTCCTATTGCTAAAAGAGTTTTTGTAAGGTAGCAACATGTACCAAGGAGTTCCTACCATTCTTTATTACCTTTGAAAACTGCACTGCAATTCTTGGTACACAATGCCATTTAAATCAAGCTAATATGTTCCTCTTACCCTATTGTGACATCAAACAAGTTGCTGCCAATAGAACTAGACACAGCCATGTCACCAAAGCCTTTCCTTGCCACTAAAACACTAGTAATCAGATCAGGTATACTGGTTCCTGCTGCTAAGAATGTTAATCCCATGATCTGGAAAAGGAAAGAACATGACTGTCTCATCCAAAATTCCAAGAAAATGAGTTCATTGAGTAACTTGAGCCACTAAGAAAAATTGTACCTCAGCTACAAAAAATAGTTGAAACCTACAATCAACAGCAAAGCATGTTCACACAAATTGAATTCCCTGTTCCTTTATTGACAGGTCAATGAAAATACAGTGCCAAACGCCGTACTTTATCCTGTTGGAAATTAACCCTTTAACTCCCATGCGTGTGACTAAGAGAGAATTTCTCCATACCATATCAATACCATATCAAACAGATGAGTGACAAGAATAAAGGGAAATATCAAATATCAAAGGGGTTTATTAGTTGATCCATTAAAAAGTTCTCAAAACTAACGTCATAAGAATTGTATGGCAGACAGTAAGGAGATTTACTAATTACATCAGCCCTTCCCATCCTGATCTTTTGGGAGCTTTTGTTTCTTTTCATCGTAGATAATTGCTAGAGGAAGACAAAAGGATGCTGATAAGGGAGGGGAGGGTGTGAAAGAGAAGGAAGAGGCAGACCCAGCAGGGGAATTAAAAATGAGATCTTCAGAGTGAAAAGTTAAAATATTATTCTCTTACCTCTGTTTCAATCCCAAGAGTACTTCCAACTTCAGTCGCCCACCAAACCATTAAATAAGAAAACCCAACGATCCAAAGCATGGACCAGACAAAACACCAAAGATACAAGTACCTTTTTCCCTAAAAATAAAAACAAAACCTTAATCTTTCATACCATGCATGAGGAATCAAAATCAATGTTGTATTGCTGGCCTAATGGGGTCATGCCTGGTTAGTTGATTTATAAAATTTATCACTGTGCGACTTTTTCTCAGCACATGCAGAATTAACCTAGTCATGGCTTCACAACAATACTAGAATATGAGCAAGGCCAAGCTTTCAGAAAAAAGACACACCATGGACAACAATTTTTTCCTCTCCCTCTTTGCAGAATAGAGAATATTTTGACAGAGTGTTGCAAAACAAAAACAAAAATAATTAAAACAGCAAATCATAACAAAGGAAAATATAACTTGGAGCCAATGTGAAGCGTGGGAAAATGCAGGTAATCAAGTTGCAATTGGTTTTAGTTTAGAATCTGATTGCTATGAGACCTGGATCAATCAACCAGCAAAGAAGAGCAAAGCAAAAGCAATCTCTGATTATTCACAACACTCAATTGAAAATTTACTTTAAATACAAGTCAGTGTACATGTGTGGTGCAGTTTCTTAACTCCTCAAGCATAATTCTGCATAATGCCAGCAATGGACAAACCATACACTGCATGTAACTTACTGGTCTTTTGATATCCTGAGCTGTGTAATACATACAGAACACAACAGGCGCTCTTATGATATAAACTATTCTATCTTTCCAGCCTGAAGGCCAGCTTAAATCTATGGGTTCACTCTCATCGTCCAGCTTTAAAGAAAAGAAATCATTTGTTAGGCAACAAACACACAAGGCATTGTAAAAGGTATTACACTATAGATTAATATTAGCAAATCAGTGAAACTATTGCAGTCTTGTCCTAACCTACCTTAATTGATAAATGCATTAAATGAATAGTTGACAATTAATTAATCCTTGATTTGATTTTTCTTATCCATACAAAAGCAATAAATTTAAAGTATACCATTGCTTGGCCATAATCTTCATAAAGTAAAACACCCTGATTCAGTTTTCTTTTCTTTTGAAAGATATGTAGAACATGAACAAAGAAAATGTTAGGATACTCACAGCAGCCTCTCTGGCACTCTCAACGTCTACTAATTGTTGATGAGAAGAAAGCTGTAACCCTGTTGTTTGTGAGCTTGGCGACTCTGTTGAAGTTCTATAGACATTACTACTATGTTCACTCATGTCAAGTACCCTACCAGGTACATGATTTTCATCAGGGACAATATTTACAAGAGGAAGACTGGAATCCCCATTAGCTAAACTAGAATCCCTGGATGTTACATCTCCATTTTTAATCTGATATGACGAGTCTCTTCTCTGTCCATCAAAAGCACTATAGCCATCAAGATTAACTGTGTGATTGCCAAACGATGAAGCCTGGGCTGAGTCTACTTGAACATTCATGGAACTATTTACAGCTGGAAAATTAAGTTGTCTTTGATTTTCCAAAGAAGAGAATTTATTCACATCTTGAGTTGAAGATATAACAGACGAGTCTCTCTCTATCCCAACTTTGACTTTAACACATTTGAGTTTCTTGAGTTTGTTGACTTTCACTGCAACAGATGCTATTAAGAACAGAAGAGGAAACAAATCATTGTAAATTCAATAAAAAAATCAATCAATTTGATAATATTATATCAACCCCTTGACACCTACAGGTGACTAAAATCTAACTTCTCCTTACCATAACACCCCTGAATCAAACATTAAGATCACTAAAGTAAAGGAAACAAAGCTCTTGATTGTAAAACACATTCTCCTTGTCGACATCTTATGAAATGAATAGAGAACAGTATAGAGAATGTGCATACTGATATTAGGGTTTAAAGAGTTAACTGAAATGGAAGAGATATATAGAAACAGAGGGAGAGGGAGAAGTAGATGTTGCAATGTAACTCCCTTTGCAGTTTTTTCAGCTCACTCCTCTGATTGAAAAATACAAGATGAAAAATTATCCTCTTTTGGCATAGAAAAGAAATGATAAAAAAGTTACCTTCTCCAAGAGGATCTATAGTATGAATCACAAGCTGAAGAGCTCCATAGCGGAAACAGGGAAGACCATTGCTCTCCTTGGATGTTGTGCAAAGGTTTTCCACCGCCTTCTATTGAGTTGGAAAAGAAAATTTGTGAGAATCATTTTAACAATAATTTAATGAATTTGAAGCTAATTAAAAAAATCACCACCAAGATTTTTTTCAATCATTAAGAATTGGTCTGAAATGTCTTCAGTTGATCTTTGTGCAGACAGTGATTGTTTCAAAATTCAAACTTGGGAATCTCACAAATTTTGAAGTTATGAAATTTTGTGCCAAGTGGCACTCTTATCATGAGTAAGGTTGCTACTTTTCATCTTGGTCAAAGATTACAACATCTAATTGTAGAGGGAACCCTCCCAACAAAACAGACATTTAAAGCAGATGATGACCGCATGGAAAGTTATAATTTTTTTAAGAACATAATTTCATTATCTGACTTGATAATGATCATCTAAAAATATAGCACTCCTTCACACAAATTAACACCAAAAGCCTTAAAAACAACATTCAAAAGCTCAAGTCTATTATACAAGAAAGTTCATATCTTTATTTCGTGTTAATTTTTTGGTAAAATCAGATAATATAAGTACTTCATGAATTTGACTTAACACCTGAAATTTTTTTATGGTGCAGTATTGTTTTCATTAACTAGGTTGGTTAAAAAAAGAAAAACGAAACCAAAAAAAGGCCAATCCAAGTTGAAGCTTCAAAGTCAAATCTCTCATCACAGAGAAGCTTTCATCAGCTATTTTAAAAAAAAAACCTAACAATTTTAGGAAGGGTAGAAGACAAATGTGCCAGCATATTCTGTCTAAATCTAAAATTATCAGACAATATTTGTGAACATACAACAAAAAAAAAAAGCTTGTAGTCCTTCAGATATAATGCTGTTGAAAAATGTGCTACACATTTTAAAATAAGCCAAAACAGATCCCATTTCAGTGACATGTCCCTGACTCCTAAATCTAATTAGCAAATGCTTTCATTTGAAATTCAAATGGAGAGCCAAAGCAGAAAAGTAAACAGAGAAAGACCACATAGCACAATTGAGTGGAAGGAAGGGAGATAACCTAGGTTTAATTTGTAACATGTCTTTTCTCACAAGGGATTTATGGTTTCTACCTCAGTTTACAAGACAAAGGGTAAAGGAGTACACTCCATGATGGATGAATGACCATACAAACCTTATTGTTTTCCACTAAACATACTCATGCAAGAACAAAAGAGAATTGCTTTCTACCCCATTATTATAGGAGAAAGTGTTTCTCAGACAAGAGAGGTTCATATTATTTTAACACAATCACATCTCAAACATAATTACAATGAGCACTTTGCCTCAAAAATGGATTTTTTACAAACCTGGGGAGGTTGCCATATAATAACTTTTGCCTCAGTGTTTACTTATGTTTTAAATTCTTAGCTGATTAAGTCAAAGGGGATTGCAAGATATTAAAAGGATCAGCGAGACTTGCTACACAAGAAAATGCCAAAAGTTCAAGATGAAATCGTAATAAGCTCACTGGAGAGATGTGTGAATCTTCTAAACCCCATCTATATTCTAAAATCTCATCTACAATCTCCTATAATAAGTATTTTGAGACCCGTAAGTGTTTACAAATGGATAATCTAAAGATTAAATATAAAAAATCTTTGTTTACATGCTGGAAGTGATACCATAAAGCTCAGTATTTTTTGTAACTATAGAGACTGCACGAAAGTATTGATCAATTCATCAAAAATATAGTCACTAACTGCAGTTATGCAATTTTTCCATAAAAGACTTTCCGTGTAAACTATAGAATAACTTTGATAAAAAGCGGCAGCGTCTGTTAAATTTAAAAACTCTCTGAGATGGCAATCATCACGTCATTAACTTAACCATATTGATTTCTATACAATGAATATTTTTGTTTAATATTAAAAACACCTGAAATAGGCAAGGGGTAGGAAAAACATAAGTGTCAATGAACAAAACATTTTCGCTCGATTGAGTTTTCTTACGTAACATGTAAAACTGTCCAATTTTAAAATTACTTCGTCCAGACGAGAAACAATTTGCTTCTCAAAACCTCCCATTTTGTACATTAAGCATAATGATCCAAGGTGCGAACTAAGCGAAGATTTAAGCTTGCTATAAAGTCAAATGAATGCTGTACAAAATAAAAAGGTGCAAAAAAATTGCTTTCAAAATGACCTGTCGAAAGAGTTTCTCATATTGTTTAAACTTCTGTTTCATGTTTATTTTGAAGCGCTGATTCCATCTGAAAATTATCGCAGACAGCTCCTCTTTCTTTGGGCTTCCTGAAATTAACTTAGCATCAAAGAGTTTCAATTAAAACTCCCATTGACATATAACAGGATTTAAAATGCGGTAAAAGTATTAATTCCTTGAAAATTAAGGTTATAAATGAATTCACCTACCTCAAGAGAAGAATCTTGTTCACCGCCTTTGGCTCCTTTAGAGTGCAAAGAGCTCACTTTGTTCGATTTAAGCTTACTTTTCACTAATTTCTCTATTTTGTGGTTGAATTTCATAAATGTCACGTATAATAAATAAACTGTAATCATCACCAATGATTCCCACCATTCGATCTCTCCGTTCGAGAAAAATGCTATTAATATGATCAGAGCCACACTGTAGAACATACAGTCGCGAAACAGAGGCCACCATGTTAATTTTAAAAGCTCCTTTGAGAACACCGCACACATGCCTATAACAAACAAGACGTTGAAAACTGCAGATCCAACTATAGTTCCAAAACCAACATTAGAATTAGGTGCGACGAAAACCCCAATGAACGACGTACAAAGTTCGGGCATACTGCCGCCGGCTGCCATAAACGTAGCACCCGCAACATCCTCTGAAATGCTTAATTTTTCGGTGATAACAGCTAACGCAGGGATGAAGAATTCGTCGCAAGCGATTGACAACGCCAAGAACATGTAACACATACCGATTATGTGCAAAATTACAGCTCCTTTTCGTTTCTCTTCCAGAGTGAAAATATCAGGAGGATATTCTCCTTTATCGTTCGAACTGCTTTCATTGACACTTAACAGTAATCGCTGCTTGCGAACAGTTCTAGCGCCGCCAGCCACTAAAGACGATGTCTTGCCGTCGAACTCGGCAAGGAAGTTCACAGCTCCGCACAGCAACACGGAGGTCACTAAAAAAACATGAGGGCACAGCGTTCGCGGTCTCTGAAACCGTTGCAATATAAACGATCGTTGAAGTCTTAATGCCATATTTCTGTTTCGTAGAATGTAAACACAGGATAAAGCCACCAGGATTATTCGTTCTGATCTCCGTTCCTATAATGATAAGGTATCCTAGTCGCCGTTTATTTCTCAGGAGACCGAGTTGTTCCCTCGACGCTAAATGGTCGGCAGTTGACAATATTAATACAGTGCTAAAATAACCATTATTCCGCCGCCAAAAATACGAGAGTACGCGACGACAATCCACAAACGGGATGTACTTGAAGCGGACAGATCATGGTGTGAGTAAAAGCCGATAATATTTCCAATCCACTCGACGAGATGTCGTCAACCGCTACAACAGTAACACTCTTCAAGGAATCCTCTCTCCCCGCCACGGAAATTCTGGGAGGAAAATCAAACCTGTGAGAATTAAATTACCGAGGAAGAAAACCTCGGTTACTCTTTCGATTGGTTCTTTTTCCAAAGCATGTTGCGGGACGTCATTCCTGATTCACCGAGGAAAATAAAAGCAGTTAGAAACCCTTAGCAACTTTATAAACTTCCCCCAAGAAGCAATGCGGTAGGGGGCCATTGTGTTCAACACTGTCACAGGACCTTAATGTTTTTATCGTAAACACTGATTACTGGTGCACCGCTAATTACTTACACTTCACTAGCTGAAAATACCACAGAAAGGCCAGCCATCTCTTGGGGATAAATATTTTTTGTACTGTATTCTCTCAGTACAATTTTCTGTGCATCTAAATTTAATTATGAAAATATATTTAATCAAAACACGTTATGTTCTTAATTACAAACAGAATAAAACTCTTGAAAGAACCGCCTGCTGTTCTATTTCCGGCTTTTTTCCTTGTATCAAATCATTGATATTGAATTCGTTTATCCAGTTGGGTAGAGATTGTTCCTGCCTCTGACGGCAATTATTCAAAAAAAATAATTTTAGACGCAAATTAGTAGAATAGGAGTGATACCACATTATAAAATGCAAAGGCACTGGAGCGTGGGTTCATCAAATATATGGCTTATCAGAAATTAAATTATTCTAAAATCGTGCAATTTGTTTATGCTAAAGGAAAAAGAAAAAAAAGAAAAACCCGTCCTTTCACTTTCTCTTAAAGCTTAACAATTCACAATACATTTATTTCCCAATGCACTCGTTGGCATATATTCGTTGTTCATCGTTCGTCGCATTCGTTGTTCGTCGGTCTTGCTATAGGCAGCTGCTGATTTATTGCTGACACTTATTGGAAACTTTTAGCGGATAATTTTCATATTTTTTTTCTCCCTTGCCCTTCAAAATACTCCCCATCTGTCTAACTTTCTTTACACTCGTTATACCATCTGAGTAAATAGAAATGAAATAATTGTTTCAACAATACAAAGACTATCAGCGCCAAAAAATATTAAAACAAATGATATAGCTTAACCTCTTTCACCCCAGTAATAGCTCTATCGTTTTCTCAGCAACGCCTTCTCTGCGTGACATCTTTGCTTTAAAACTTTTCACAACTGTCCGTCCCATGTATTACATTTGTCGCGGAATTTGCAAATATTCTTCCTAAGCTGAAACTTCATTCTCGTGTTTCGACCCCAAATTAAGTTGTACTTCAGTCATACCCATTACAATGATAAAATATTTAAGCTAACAAAAGGCAAGTTTGTGTGAGAGATTTCCTTACCGAAAAAGAAAGCAAAAAGGCCGCTCTCTGAACAGTTCTATATGAACAGCGAATATTTACTTCCGCATAGGGAGTGCACGAACAGGCAAACTCTAGTTCATAACACCGCCGCAGTCTTTGAAACTATACTTAGGAATACAAGTGGTATGTCGAATCATAACTGAAGTAGCGTTTCTTTGCTAAATTAACAGGTACTTGCAGTTGTAAGAGTCCCGCCGGATTTTGAGATTTCGCTGGAGTTACTCGTAAACAGCCTGAAGATTAACTCAGTGACTCGATTGTTGTTTGTAAAGGTTTCTGTCCACATCAGTCCATCGGTAATGCCAAAATAATCGATATACACCTTATTCGATGGTTTAACGTATTAAAAATATTCTCTTAATAAGCGCGAATGTTTTACGAGTTGCTTTGTATTTTACGAGCAATGAGCAACATTTCGGCTCGTATTATAGGTTAAACAATCGAATGAGGGATTTATCAATCCATTATAATTTCGCTGTCTTGAACTTTGGCTTCCTACTTTTCGAAATACTTCCCACGGCCTTGCCAGAATGAGCTCTGCATCGATCACATAGGGTTTGGGTAAAAGACGACAACAAAACAAACCGAACCACTAAATGCGCTTAAAACTTCGTTACTCAAACAGGAAAAACGGGGAAAAAATTTGGATCGTTCACTGAAGTCATTTTGTTGCTCCGTTCTCCTTCGTATTTTTGCCCTATTCTGCAGTATAATAGCGTGGTATATTTTGTGCGATCCGATGCCCTAATATGGTAAAAATGGCGTAATGGTAGAATGATAGAGTTCAGTATACTGGAGGTTCTTCATGAGTGTCCGTGCTCAACGTGATACTTGCTGTAGCATGTTCCAAATTATAAACAGTCTTTCTGGTTACGTGTATCAGTTCGTTAGAACCAAAAAGTTGCTCGCGAGCCTCAGGCGAAAGTGATACCGCTTTAAACACATTTCGACTCCTTTTTTGATCCTAACTGAAGAAACACCCGGAGAAAAGAACATATTTGCTTGATACAATTGCAATTAAATAAGTAGACTTAACAACTTGCCTTACGTGACTGTCAATCGCTCGAAGACTTGTTCCAATCAACAGGAACACTTCCAATCATAGTTTTCCAATTTCATTTTGAGCCGTAGCAAACAGCTCAAATTAAATGTTTCATGATTTTCAGTAACTGAGTCTGAAAAATTCCGCAAATGCTGTTTGAAAATGTACGTTATTGTGAACAATTTTTTTAATGACTTCCGCCACTGCGCCTGCTTTATAATTGATCACGTGCAACAACCAATCACAGAGCACGTAGTATCCAGTTCAACATAACGTTCACCTGTATTTCCGCATATTCACGCTCATGTATTTCACGTGCGTGTTGTGTTCATTTTAATATTCTTTTTCATTGGACATCACGACGTTCATGACAGGGACATGAAAACCACCTTTAGATCTTCATTAAAAGTCACAATGGATTATAACGTCACAAACTTACTTATTAGAGCGTTATTTCCCGTTGTACGTTACCGTTTCGTGCTCGTTAGAAAGCGAACGAGGTTTTTCATGAGACACTATAAGAATGAAAATTTCAAGACTGAAATCAGGAGTTACGCTGAATCGTAATGGATGAATCTTCAAAGCGAAAATTTAAATTTTGATAAACATATTCCTCAGTGTCTCGAAGTGTCGTTCGAAATAGTACACCGAACATCTCAGTTGTCACTGCCACGTCTCCTCGAGAAACTTAATCATCCTGTAAATATTCTGCGGTTTTGGCGTCTCAGAGTCGATATACAGTAGTTAATAATAATGAAACTACACCGGCGTAACAAATACTTACCAGGATTTTGGAATTCACTAAAGAGCTCTAAAGGAAGTCCAAATTCACCGTTTAACTGTTGACTTTCATCGAGATGGTTGAAGCTAGTTCATGGCAAAACAGTGCTGCACAAATTTTTATATGGCTCGGTCTAATTATTCAAAATTAACTGACGTTTACTGTCAATGCATCATCTCTAACTTAACCTTCAGCTCAGGAAGCATAACTGGGAACTAACCTAGGCTCAAATATCTCCAAACACCTGTCGGCCTTCTGTCCCTAACAACTCTGTGTTTCTTCTTTTCTTTAAAGCGTTCAAAAGCAAAATTTCGCAAGGGAATTTCTATGCAGTAAGATGTACACAGATAAATAAAAAACTAGTTTTGCCTTAGGGGCGAAAAATATTTTTTCACCATATTTCCGCCCCAAACTTATATATTTCATTCCAATTTTGCTGATGTCATTCACACAATACCTCACAAAGCCTTTTTGAGATGATGTGTTGACCTAAGGTCTCCTCTTGACAACAGAAACGTGGGCTGTTTTGTCAGAAACAGAAAATGAAAAGGGCCTTAGAAATCTGAACACAATTACCTTAAGAGGCAGCTGTAGGCAGAAAGAAGAAGTAGCACATTAAATCTTGTTAATCTTAGAGAAGATTCACGCATGAATCGGGGGTTGTGTCAACTCCTTTATGGTGGGAATGCTATCAATGAATACAGCAGGTGTTCCAATTCCTAAATTTAATTTTTTAACAGTTTCAGCAGGTTATCGGCATATAGAGAACTACAGTCGCTCAGCACGCTGTTTCGTTGTTGCGAAAAATAGTTATAATTTCGAAGTTGATCCAAACAGAAGTGCTGCGTCAAATTATAAACCAGTCGTTGTGAAGAAGGATTCAATTATTGAAGTACTTCCATCGTAGTATTGCCATGGCGACCAAGTCAAAAACATATGCCACCCCCCTAGTAACAAATATCTCTGGTGATGAAATTAAGAAACACTTTCTTGTAAAAACAAAAGTCTGAAGACCACAATTTTCGTCTCCTCTGCAGTTAGAAGTTATGGGAAAAAAACTGCCCAAAACTTAAATACGTGGGCTCAAGCGAAAAAGTCAACGGGTTGTTTGTTTATAATTCCGTTCAAATTTTAATTTTGAAAATCCTCTATGAGAGTTGATTAAGAAAATAAGAATATTTGACATTGTTGATTGCGAAAGGTGTGCAATGATGGTTTCATCTTCCCTGAAGTTTAAATTACAAGACACTAGTGGTGACATCGTTGCAGTGAGCGTATTACTCGCTTTTATATCATAGACCAAGTACTGAAAAAAGGCTATTTTTAGATTTAAAAGTCAGGTGTTGCTGAGAGACAAATAGATAACTCTCTCTCTTATTGTTTCCGTTTTGAACAATTTCATGGTGTTCATGAAACATTGTTTAAGTATTTCTGTGTTTTAACAGAACGCAATAGTAGTGAATTTTGACACTCGCTATCTGTATTTGTGTAAGACTCGTGGAAAAATTGGCTTAAGTTTGCCTTTGATCACTTAACGATTGGTAAATAGAGAAATTCAGCTTGACTAAAACGTATTGCTTTGGTGCAGTACATCATGGTATGTACCTTCCAAGTAAAAGAGGCTATAAAGTGTTTTTTCGGCAAGGTAGAAAAATGACGATTGGACGAGATGTCTTTACCTTGAAGTGTATTTGCAGTTCTCTAAAGATATGAGAAGCATTAAAGGATAATGCCCTACATAACGAAACAGGAACACGAACGGAACAATATTAAATAATGGTCAAACATGGATGGAAAAGATTTAGAAATATGGATGATAGTGAACTTAACAAACATTTTTGCTAAATATGCACAGCGTACTGCGAGCTGGCTCACTCAATTTCCGGTCATCATCAACACAATTTTTAATTGTCATGTTTATTATTTTTATCGTTACTATTCCTCCATGACGCATAAACGCCAGTAGGGGGTGATTTTAAGAATTTTCTGGCCACATGTTACCCTGAGGAAAAGAAAATTTATCCGTCTCCAATTCTATCCTTCAATTGAAAGGATGTTCTGACAAGTAATCTGAGTCTGTGTCTTTGTGCTAAAATACGCCAGTGTTGTATACTTATAATTGGCTCAAGTGAGGGGCTCTTGCATTTGGAGGTGTAAACTGACATTTCTAAGGGTCCTCGATTTTTGCACCTTACTTTTGCACGTTCAAAAAATAACTTAAGGTCCATTAAATGAAACAAATTGAGATGTGGGACAATTTGTTAATTCAAGATTTAATATTCAGCTGTTTTGTCTAAACTGAAAGCTTTAAAGAAGAAGTATGTTTCATATTGTCGAAAATTTGCCGTTCAACAATTAAATGAAATCCAACTTTTCCAAAAGCACGCATTAGTTGCAGGCTATCACTAAACATAAACCTGCAAATTGTTTTTATCTGTCAGTACATGACATTGATTAAATGATATCTCGAGGATTCTGTCGCAATAATTTAGAATGTGTTTTCCGCACCACGCCTATCCCAATATATGCCACTTCTTCAGTGTTTTTGCTCAAGAATTTTAGAATTCTTACTATGATCGGACAGGTGGCACGACCGCGTTCATATTGCACCACATACGTACCTTACTAAACAAAATCATAAAGATGTTAATCCACAAAGGTAGATAGCATCAGGCGATTAAGAGTATTGGCAATATTTGTTAATTTTGAAGTTGTTTTGAAAGGGACAAGGGTTGCCCTAGTTGGTGAAAAGGTTAACAACAATACGTTACTACGCGACATAGAAAAGTTAATTCGAAAATTCAGCGCCCCGTCGTTGCACTGTGACATATTCCTAAAGCTGAAAAAAAAATATCGCATTAAGGGTTTCACGGTTTAGAAAAAAAAAGCAAGCCTGTTTAAAGGCTATAGGTTATAGAGGCTATAAAGATGTTTCATGACAAGACATTTTTCCGTCAACCGCATATATTTGCGCTTAGTTGCCAGTCAAGTCAGTCCGAGCTATATGAATTTGAAGTAAATTAGTGTTTGGAAGGTCCAAAGATTTGTGCACTGATGGCATAAAAATCGGACATGAAGTGTCGCTTTTCTCTAACGGGCGGTTGACATTTAATTGGAGGAAAACATTTATGACGCGAACGGGTTAAAATGCCACTCAAGAAAAATCAATTAAAACAAATACCGTAATGTTTTGTGGCTTTTTTGACATCTCCAAAAGGCTTATTATTCAAGGCTTACTGGTTTATCCGAAATGATCAAAAATTGGCTAAATTAGTTGGTATATTGCTTGTAAAGATATAATATGGAGAGATACACGAAGCAGTATTTATATCTGTTGCGCGCCAACGGTTTTCCTTCGTTTCTGAGCCATTTATTGGCCATGCAACTGATGACGATCAATCTCCCTGTACAACCATAAACATCATTTATTTCGAAAGAGCCTGACAAGCATTGACACAGGACGGAAAAAGAGCTCATTTAGAGAGAGAATTATTTCACGCCGGTTAAATAAGCGTAGCCAAAGTGATCGGTATTAACCGGATGTCTCGAAAATTCTAAGCAACGATTCTGTATCTTGATAGTTTTAATCAATCAGCAGAACAGACAAAAAAAATAGTAATACTTTTGAATTAGTCTCCAACAAGACATCTCAGTTAACATGAACTTTATGAATGGCAAAGTTTTCAAAAACGAAAATGAATAAATGGCGCAACGAAAAAAACCGCTATACTGAACGAAATACCTCGCTAAGACCTCTTGTAATCAGTGCTGAATTGTTTATCGAGGTGCAAATTTCATAATTCAAATAATAAACAAGGTTTCCATTAATGCCGTAAAATATTTTAAAAGTTGAATTTATCTAAGGAGGAGTGAATGCTCAAAATTTCCAATAAACCGACAAAAGCGATGTTATTTACACAAGAAGATAACAACGTCGTGTTGATATAAACGCTGTGGAAAAGAAAAGCTTTTACATTCATATTTCTGGACCTGTCCACAACGCCTCGAGGCTTAGCGAAATTGTAGAGAGCTTTCTAGTATATTTTAATAGAAAAGGCCGAGACAAAAAAAAAGTTAAATTTCGCGGTTTCACATCCATATCACCCTACCTTCTCAATCTTTGAAGGTTTACTCTGAGTGTAAAATTAGGAGAAACTCCAATTTTATGGTCACAAAACCGTTTCATTTCCCCTGGCTGTTTAATGTTCGGGGCACGGGTGAATTTAACGCGCCTGTTTTAATACCCGCATTTCGATAAATATCTCGCATTTTTGGTAAATAAGAGTATTTCCCAAGGACATTGGCTGAAAATATGGTCTGAATATCTGTTTGAAATGTATTGGAGAATACTCCTTTACGTTCAGGAGGAGCTTGATAAAAATGCAAAAGAGATACTCACTAAGTCTTTCGATATTTCGCTTGCGTATTTCAACGTTTTCAGCTTTCGGTTGCCACAGTACATTCGCCTTTCCGACTAGAGAAATCGTGCAAAAACCTGGCGAAACACAAATACAGCGATTGATAAATAATTGATATTAGTCGGCATGTATACATTATGGCATACAATATCGAGAGCGAATTCATAATTAAAATCCAGAGTGACTACATTATAGAAAACACCATTAATCCTCAGACACTTGGAGCTGTCGCTTACTTCGTTTAGAGTTCTTGAGTGCGGACAAAAACACCGAACTGTTGTTATTTAAGTTGATATGGCAAATTTCCTTAAAAAAGAAGTCATAATGCTAAATAGTTGACGGTTTAAAATCGCTTGACTATGAATATTTTCAGCTTGTAAATTATAACATTATAAAATTGGGGAGTTTCAATTATCTCAAAATACGCAATTAGAATAAAGTTTTGTCACCGAAATTGGTAAAAATAAATCTTTTATCCATAGTACTGACTTAATTTTCTCTTGTGAAGTAAAGTAAAGCATTTTCTATCAAGTTTCTGTCTGTGTACTTGCAAAATCACCGTTTTTTTTCAAGCATGCACGTTAAACAAGCACAACACCTGCAATGTGCTTTGAGATAAGCAAGTTGCGGAGTACGCATTTATGTAAATATTGCAAATTTAGGGAAGATAGATAAGACAAGATTCTTATTCAGGTGAACAATGGAAACTTTAAGGGGGACGTAAAATCTTGTGTTCGTCTCTTGTAATGCAAGAATAAAAGTTGGTATGGTAACGGGAAAACCAGAGAGAAGCACGAAAAATAACCGGAGATATTTTTCACTTAGGTGGTATAAAAATCTTAACCATTCTCGTAGCAGTCCAATGATAACGTTATTCACAGCACAATGTGTAGAAAACAGAGTGGCTGATGATTTTTACAGGGCTCTCTAAATACTGTAAACCAGACATCTGTTGATGATGTGAAAAAGTCTCAAAATCACAGCTGCCCCGACACTAGAACAACGCTAAAAGGAAAAATTTAGTCGAAGTGAACTAAGCTATTCGTAACGCGATGGTGAAGATAAAAATAAATTTCATTCTTGAAGAGCGCAAAATGCAACGGGTCAAAGTTAGCTTAAGATTCAAAATCACTTAAAAAGAGTCAATGAGTATTGTTGATTTAAAATTGTTGTGTGCTTGAAAGAGTTTAGGAGAGCGAACAAGAATACAAATATCAACCCACTGTTGTCAAATAAATATTCCCAAGAGAATAAACAAGCAGCAAAATTACCGCTAAAATGACGTCTCTGAATCTTCTGGAATTGTTTTATTAGACATTGCTGTTAGGGTCCACTTGAAGTATTACAAGATATCAAACGTTTTCAGTTAATATAATCACGTTTTACTCGTGCTTGCCTAAATTGTTCATTCGTATTAATCCTCCCCTTTCCTCCCCAGCTATTACAATAAAATGTACCTAAAAGCCCCTTACTGAGAAATTTTCCATTTTTGCCAAAGAATACCTTATCCACATCTATCGCTTTAATCTCCTGCCCAGCCCTCTTGCTGACGGAGCTCCCTATCGTTTTTACCGGGAAAATAGTTACCCTCTAGTTGCCCTGGTAAACAAATGATCGATAAGTTACGTCTCTTGACGTGCTCCTAATAAGTGTACGTCCGAGGGCGTGATAGCACTGACGCTCAACTTCGAGCAAAGAGCTCTCACGCGCTAACATGGGATTTGTGAAAATCCACGTTACATGGCAAAAATGGCTATGTTTAACAATGAAGTTCATCTTTTCAATGAGCATTTTGCACCTACTTTCGATAGTTTTTGGAATCACCGTTCCTAAACATTGGCGCTCATACTTTTCACTCTGTACGGACCCCGCGCATGCGTCTTTACAAATCATTGAATTTGAAAAACACGTTCTATCATCTGACAGAGAATTTTTCGTTAGATTAACTGCTTACTTTTTCTCTGCTTGGTGCTCGAAGGTTTACTTTTCAACCAGATTTTCCAAATAAAAAGAGGGACCGTGGTTGATATCATCAAATTACGAAAACGGTAATTGATCTCGTCGAGAGCGAATCAAAGAGAATTTTACATTCCGATGATTTACTATCGTGCTACAGAGAACGATATGATGATCCAAACCATTACCAGTAAGCTAGTGACGTGCAACCTGCCAGGATCAGCACGACTCTATAACTTCGAGGTGATGCAATTTCGTACTGGACGCTGGTTTACTGTAGCGCATGGGATGTATTAAAACACGCAGTCAACCCTTTTCAACCAGTCAACCACTTTCAGCCGCTCACGAAGATTCGCTCCTTTCCCATTTGTGTTGTTATTAGCTCCCTGCAATAATCACTTAGACCTGAATGGCCGTTACGATAACCCTGGGCTTTGATCTAAAGATAATTTCTTAGAAAGCACTCTACGTATATCAGGTTACACCACAAAATTTCAAAGTGCACTTTATTCTTATTTACACGAGATCTCTGGTAAAGCTTCTCTCCCTGTCTCTCTCTCTTCCTCTCTTTTATACTTATTACACTGGCTTGTACACGATTGATTTAAATTTGACTATATACAGGAGTCAAACTCTCCAACTTTTTCTCACAGATCACTTTTACTGAGGCTAATAATACAGGAGATGTCCAAACAAATGGAAGATTAACAGAAGAATAAAACTAATTGTGAGGAGATTTTACAGAATTTAGCATTTGTGTTTCTCCTTCTGTATCGAGCTTAGGATTAGCAGCAGTACTTAAAAGAACAGTAAAAAAATAGCAGTCATTTGAAAAGATCACAGTCAACAGAAAATAATTGTATTTATTTCCTAATCTTGTCCAAGATAGCCATGTTCGGGTGCCTTCGCGTGTAAAAGAAGATATAGCCCTTGCTTCCACTTACATGGCCTTCTTCTGTTTGTGTTACATTGCTGTCATTGAAATTATACCATAGTCCTGAGGAGAAAAATTTCCAGTCATGAGTCCACTGCTATCTAAGAACCACAGACACACCACTCTACCATGACATAGCACAAAAATGATGATTAATAATATCATAACATTAAGTGTGTTTTCCCCATTAGAAACTTATCATAAATAGTCAAACTTTGGAAGCATCTTGAGTCCTCTTGGCATATTGATATTTTCAGGTTTTTACAATATTATTGCTTAAATTGTCAAAAAAAAAAAACAAACAAACCAAAAAAAAAAAAACAAAAAAATACACAAGAGTTGTGGAGATTTTTGCTTAACCTTCCTTTGTATCTGACCAATATGACAAATGCCTCCATCATTAAAAAATAATTTCAAAGAGGTAAGGATCCCAAAGTCTTTCCTTCAAAAGATACTGCCATTCTCTTAAGATTCAAAATTGCTTTCTCACAATTTTCCCTAGCCATGTAACAAAGACACATAACACTACAAGACCTATCTTACTTACCATCGTGAAAAGCAAACGTTGTGTAGTGTCCTGCACTAACTCTGCAAACAAATAACAAAAATAATTATGAAAATATTCATTTTGCTGTAAAACTGACACTCCTACAGTTTTAAATCACAGTTAAATTCTTACCCACTGCCATGATGAACAACAACAGCCGCAAGATCAAACAGAAATGCTTTTGGGTTCTCATCCTGATGAGAGAAACACGTATTATTAAACTGGGCAGAAAGAATTACTTGACAGCACTTTTTCTCTCAGCCTTTTGTGTAACAGCAGTGTGAAACTTTTACTAAAAAAAAAAGACACACTAGGACTTCAATCAGTTCAGAAGAACTGTACATAAAAACCATTACAGGACTTCACCAGAAAAATAAAATTTCTTCAATGTAGATAAGCTGATCTCTTTAATAATAAGACATTGCCAATACCCTATGACCAATTTTCTATTCACAAGATTATTGGTTCTTACCTGGTCTTGTAAACAATAAGGACTCATATCCAGTCCCTTCATGGGGAACTGTACATATGTATCAACTTTGCTCCGATGGAATGCTTGGAATTTGAAACGCTTGAGATGCAAACACAACACCTACAAAATCATCAAGAATCTATTATACAAGGCTAAATTGTAAGAATAACAGCAAAAAAAGAAAAGGCTTGGAAAAAAGAAAAAGGAAAAATTAACATTGTGGCAAGTTGTTGGTATTGGGTTCAAAACAAACAGCTCAACACAGAAACATATTTAAACCAACTCTCTGAGGGACCAGTAATTGTGATGTGTCAAGGGCTTCTAAAATGGGTTCAGAAGTTTACTGTATTATGTCTACACTTATGATGATAGGATTTGTGTGTCAGCAATAAAAAAGCAGAGTGATTGAGTAAAAAAAGGGAAATTGTCTCACATTTGGTAGTCTTTTGATCCAAAATTTCTTTGTAGACTTCTGCCTCTTTTTACAATTCGGACAAATGTATAGTTCAGACTCCGCTAGTTCTTCAAGTGATATAAAGTGATACAAGCAATCTGTGTAAGCAAATTGACAAAAGAACATTTTATTAAATTAAAAAAAAGTTTGCTTTCTCTATGAAATAACACATCATCTGCACCAAGAATAATAACATAGAATACAATGAGGGTCCTTGATAAATCTTTTCGAGTGGATGCAAGAGCATGCCCAAGGAAACAAAACTTGCTGTATATAACTCATGGGGAGTTAGTCTTGTGGATGTAACTTTACTAGAAAGTATTTGATCCTTACCTTGTAGTTGACAAACTTGAGGATCTCTGGTCTTTGATTTTCGTACTTGAAATTCTGCTGGAATTTCCAGTGATAAATCTGTTATTCATAAAAAGAAAGAATTAGTAAGAATCCCCACATTTGCATCTCACTGGTAATTCATTAACCCTTTACACACTAACATCAGTATGCATATTTTCCTCACTGCTCTCTATCCATTTCTTAAGATGCTGACAAGGAGAATCTGGTGAACAATCAAGAGGTTCTTTAGCTGGTGATAATTTCCTTTGTGTTTGTGACCTTTAAGTGTGATTCAGGGGTGATATTATAACGAGAAATTAGATACTAGTTGATCTAAAGTCAATGTTGAGTTAATGCAAAATAAACTACTAACCTAAAAATGGATCATACTTCCTT